TTTTCAAAAGCAACGCATATATATCAATGTAAATGACCCCCATCTTCACCCCAAGTCCATGATGTCACTCCATACCAAGCTTGGAATAAAATGACAGGTGATTATAAAACAGTTGGTCAAACATTCTTGAAAGATTTAAATATTTTCTTTAAAATGAGCCATAAATGAAAATTATTAAAGGCCCAGAAATAATTCAAAAAATAATTAGTGTAAATCCAATTAACCTAGACTCATTTTTTGCATCAATAAAATTTTATAATAAACAAGAAATAATTGTAACAAGAATGCCGTCTCCCAAACAAAGCTCCCATAATTCGTCATTTCCATGGTCGCCTGACATTGGGGAAAGTCCAGTACATATTGGTTTGGTCTAGTAAAGTGATATGCATATGTGACGCCTAGGGGATTGACCCTGTATGTCAGTCAAATCTTTTTGAAATGACGAACAGGAATAAATATGGTTTATGGGTGGGGATCTCGACCATTCACAAGTTCTCAAATAGGAGGGGGTGGGGAGACCCCAGGGACTCCCCCTATATTTCATTTGATTTGTTTTTAATATTGTCCCATACATGAATATATATAGTTTAGGGGTGGGGATCTCGACTATTTCCAAGTTCTCAAACAGTAGGGGGTGAGGTGATCCCAGGGACTCCCCATATATTTCATTTGATTTGTTTTATTGTCCCATACATGGATAAATATGGTTTTGGGGTGGGGATCTCCACCATTCACAAGTTCTCAAACAGGAGGGGGTGGGGAGACCCCAGGGATTCCCCCTATATTTCATTTGATTTGTTTTTAATATTGTCCCATACATGCATATATATGGTTTAGGGGTGGGGATCTCACCCATTTCCAAGTTCTCAAACAGGAGTGGTTGTTACCCCAGGGACTCCCCATATATTTCATTTGATTTGTTAAATTGTCCCATACATGAATATATATGGTTTAGGGGTGGGGATCTCGACCGTTTACTAGTTCTCAAACAGGAGGGGGTGGGGTGACCCCAGAGACCCCCAATATTTCATTTGATTTGTTTAATTGTCCCATACATGAATACATATGGTTTAGGGGTTGGGATCTCGACCATTTCCAAGTTCTCAAACAGTAGGGGTGGGGTGACCCCAGGGACTCCCCATATATTTCATTTGATTTGTTAAATTGTCCTATACATGAATAAATATGGTTCAGGGGTGGGGATCTCTACCATTTACAAGTTCTCAAACAGGAGGGGTGGGGTGACCCCAAGGCTCCCCCTATATTTCATTCGATTTGTTTTATTGTCCCATACATGAATATATATGGTTTAGGGGTGGGGATCTCGACTGTTTACAAGTTCTCAAACAGAAGGGGTGGGGTGACCCCAGGGACTCCCCCTATATTTCATTTGATTTGTTTTATTGTCCCATATATAAATATATATGGTTTAGGGGTGGGGATCTCGACCATTTCCAAGTTCTCAAACAGGAGGGGGTGGGGTGACCCCAGGGACTCCCCATATATTTCATTTGATTTGTTATATTGTCCCATACATGAATATATATGGTTTAGGGGTGGGGATCTCGACCATTTACAAGTTCTCAAACAGAAGGGGGTGGGTGCAATAGGTACTCCCCCAAATTATTTTCATTTGATTTGTTTTATTGTCCCATACAAGTATATATATGGTTTATGGTGGGGATTGCAACCCTTTACAAGATAAAAGCATATTTTCAAATAGAAGGGGGTTGGGATGAACCCCAGGGACTCACCCTATACTTTATTTGATTTGTTTTATTGTCCTTTACTTATTACGGAAGACCGTGTGTGTCTATCACTTACTGTTTTCGAGAAATAGTCATTTGAAAATTTAAAAAATAAAACCTCATAGGGTTCTACAGTAAACCCATCCCTTCTTTAGGCCCCTCAAAATACCCCTAAATAGACCCCAATGCACAAACAAAAGACCCCCCCCCCCTTTTTTTTGACAATCAATGCATTTGAATGTGGACATATAGTTGGAAACAATCCCCCCCTTTATCCTGGGTTAGGAACACCCCCCACCCCCCCTTTTATAAATGGCTGGATCCGCCCCTGAATTAGTTATAAATAACATATCAGCCTGCTAGATTATAACAATGGCACTTTTTTCAGCATTCGTTGGGAAGAACACAAATCTAGGGTGCTAGCATAAGGCAGCTTAACTGCCTAAAACGCACTTCAGCATCAAACCATCGCTCATTAGCGTGACTATCGTGGTTCGGAGTACCATCCCAGTTCAGAGTCCTGCATAATTATGTTAAACTGTTAGTCAAATCAAAAAAGTTTTCTATTCAAAACTGTAATAGATTTTTGACAGACATCCCTTGTGCCTAAATAACAAAGTACCCCCCAAAATGTAAGATGAATATTTTACTACAAGTATTGTATGAGGTCAAAGTCAGATGAACCCTGCCAGACAGACGTGTACACTTTACAATCCTTCCATGCACCAAATACACTTAACCTATAGCTTATAGTATCTGAGAAACAAACCTAACCCTGAATACTTAACATTGACCAATGGACCAAGAAAATGAGTTCTAGATCATATGAAACCTGTCAGCAGACCTGTATATTTACAGTTATCTTTTCACCAAATGAAGTTAACCTATTGCTTAAAGTTTTTTTTAAAGTATTTGAGAAACAAGCAAAACTTAACATTGACCAAAGAACCAAAAAAGTGAGGTCAAGTTCATATGAAACCTGTTAGACAGACATGTACACCTTAAAATTATTCCATACACCAAACAAAGTTGACCTGTTAATAAAGGTATTAGAGAAACAGACCAAACCACAAAAACTTAACATATACCAATGAACCATGGCAATTTCGTTACAGTCAGATGAAACCGTCCAGACACACATGTACACCTTACAATCATTTATACATAATATAGTTGACTTATTGCAATAGTATCTAAGAACCAAACCTTACACTGAAAACATACCACTGACCAAGAAATCAGGTCAAGGTCATATGAAACCTGACAGACAGACATGTAAAACTTACAATTATTCCATACACCTAGTATAGTTAACCAATTGCTTGTAGTATTTGAGAAACAGACCAAGCCACAATAAATTGCTTCACCGAGCGCAGCTGGATACATCCGCAGAGGTCCAACCCTGAACAATTGGGGCAAAAATGGACACAATATTCGCGCTTGATACAGGTAAAAATTTGGATTGTAATTCAATATTTGACACATAATAGGTTTCTGACACAGAATAACTGTAGTCAAAGAACTTAGAATTGGTTATATAATTTGAATTCATATTCAATTTTTTGCTTTTTTGCTTTTGTGCAATACACTATGCTGTTGCGAATTAACCTCCCCCCCCCCCCAAAAAAAAAAAATAACCCCCCCCCTTTTTTTTTGCTTTTGTGCAATACACTATGCTGTTGCGAATTGACCTCCCCCTCAAAATTTATTTTTTTTACCCCCCCCTTCTTTTTAAAAAAAAAAAATTTGAAGAAATTTTCTTTTTGATTTCTTTACTCCCCCCCCCCCCTTTTCCAAAAAAAAAATATTTCCCTCATATATGGTCATAATCTCAATTCTAATTTCCAATGGAGTTTGCAACCATAATAACCCATTAAAATACATCATAAAAGTCTTAAAATAGAAAATGACATACATAATCATGGCTAAAATTAATATACCTTAATCAGCATTTTTAAAATTATTAAAATAGTAACTTCTAAAAATAAATTGACAGCTAATCACCTCAAGACAATACAAAAATACAAAATTTCTTTACACATAATTTAAAAGCAGTGTAAGGGAGGTAACTCAAACACAACATTGTACTTAAGAAATTGTCCATTAACCAGGACACCCTTGTTTTTTGTCACTTTTTTGCCCCCAATTCCTAAAAGGTTTGAGCCATAACACCCCAAAGCCAATCCTAACCATCCCTTTGTGGTATGGAAACTTGTAGTATAATTTCAGAGAGATCCATACACCGTTCCACAAGTTATTGTCTGGTAACTAGAAAAAAATGCTTATTTGGGCCCCTTTTTGGCCCCTAATTCCTAAACTGTTGGGACCATAACCCCCAAAATCAACCCCAACCTTCCTTTTGTGGTTATAAACCTTGTGTTTAAATTTCATAGATTTCTATTTACTAATACTAAAGTTATTGTCTGGAAACCAAATGTCTTCGGATGATGGCGACGTGATACCAATATACGACTGCAAAATATTTTGCGGTTGTATAAAAACTTAACATGGAATAAGGAACCATGAAAAAGAAGATTAAGGCAAGATGAAACAGACCAATTCTTCTTAAAATAAAGCATCTGTATCCAAAGTATGAAGCATCCAGGGCTCCTATCTTCTGAAATATAAAGCTTAATACAAATAGTTTAAGTCTTCACTGCAGCTTGATTAGCATCAAGTAATAGAAAAGAAAGGATATAGGGTATCCATCTATGACACAAAATCAGTATATGCACAGCAAAAAACACAAAAAGCAAAGGAACAGCGCTTTTATGATATTGATAATAAACAGAATGGAAGTATAGCATATTTGAATTTAGCCTAAGACTGGGAAAATTTTATAAAATCTAAAGAAGGCAAACTTGATTAACTGTATGACATTTTATGAGAATAGAGTCACTCAAAGCAAACTTCATTAGTGGTTGTCATTGGTAGGTGTCAAATTTTTTTTTCGTTAATTGTTCTTCCATATTAATCATTTGCATTTTTTCACATTTTGTCATGTCTGATCTTTTTATAGCTGACTATATGCCAGTATATGGTATGAGTTTTGCTAATTGTTGAAGGTCTTAATATGACCTATAATTGCTTACATTCAAATCATTTGGACTCTTGAGGATAGTTGTCTCATTTGCAATTATACTACATCTCCTTATTTTTATAGTGAGCTATTATACAACATATGAAAATATGGTTTGAATGACAATTATGATTCATCTATCAAAGATGGACATATATATACAAACAATATACTGAAATACAAATATTTATTAAATACATGTAAATAATTGCAATATACTACAAATATATCAAATAAAAATCAAAAATAAGACATCTTAAAACTGCAAAACAATATAAAACAACCTGGTCCAAAAATAAAAATAAACAGATAAACAAAAATAGCCTTTTTAAGTCAATTCCTTTGCTAGGATTTACACATAAATGCATTTGACTAGAACAAGTACAATTGTTTGTGAAATTAATTTAGTTAATTATTTAATATGATTTATTTTTTTTTATTTTTAAAACTACAAAACTGATAACAGAATTTTTTATCAAAGTCAAATATTTTATGGCTTAAGTTCATAATACATGAAGGTAAAATAGCAATTCAGCTCTGGTTAGCAATCTACATCATTTTTACATTTCAGTTGGGTAAATCTTCATCATAACTGTCTGATCAGCATATATTGAGGATAAATAGTTGGATAAAAGTACTAATATTGGGATAATAAGACTGAATTGTCTTTGTCTACATCTCCTACCACAGTGGTTCCCAATTAAGGCGTTGAGAAATCAACTGGACATTTGGTCCAGTAAACCATTCTTCTTAACTTGACCAGACTCTTTTTAACAGGACATTTACATATATGATTTGAACAAAATTTAAAATTTTACTGTTCATTAGGCCCAGTAAAGCATAACACTTAACTGGACCAAACCAATTTTAACTGGCCTTTACCCAATGTCCAGAGACCTTGGGAATGACTCCTGCCAATGAAAAGCATATTATTTATAAGTAAATTCCTATTTGTTATTAAGTAATACAAGTAATTTTACAATGATAAATTACTTTTATATGCAAAATAATTGGCTCAAGGTAGATCTGGGGTCCTCTGCCATGTTGGATTGTAAAATGTTAGGAAAAAAACGGCCTTAATAAAATATATTGATTGGTTGGTGGTTGCTTTATGCCACAGCCCAAATAATAATATTGTATAATAAATAAAATAATGTATAATAAGATATGCATATTGAGACAGGAATGCAGTTCATTTGTAAGACTTTTTATCTAGATGAAGAAAACTATGTGGTTACTCTATTCATTATGAGTAAATTTACATACATAGATTAGATATTGTGAGATTCAAATTTTGTTCATGGAAGATAACTCAGATAGTATAATTTATAAGGAATGTGCAGTAATTTTTATATTTCTTACTTTACAGCTTGAAAATGAGTGCAGTGACCCTACTTTTTATTCTTATTTTCTGAAAGCACATTATAAAACCTATCTTCTCATATTTTATATAGAATTCTATCATTAAGTTTTCTTTCTTTTAACACAAAAGTGGTTTAACCTTGTATAATGTTTATAAAATATGACAATATTGCACAGCTTGTAGCTAGAAAAAAAAACCTTTTAATATATTTATGAAAAGAAGCATGACATATACTTCATTTTTGCAAAACATCTAAAATTTCATTGGTTTTAATTTACACCCCATCTACCTTGATTTCAAAAAAAAAATATGGATATCCTTGTTTTAGGTAGGGGTATGCCTAAACATTCTCATATATATATTTTTCTAAATATCTTATTTAATGTTTATTGTTCATTATAAATTTAAATAATCTACTATATCTGAATATAAAAACTACATGTATAATAATAAAGTTCCACAGGTATTAGGTATTGTCTTCAATGAAAAATGTACAAACATTGCCATTAACAGAAATAAATCAGGTTTATCTTAGGAAAAAAAAATTGAGAATAAAAAAACAAATCTATACCTTCAACAAATATAGATAATGTAATTTGAAAAGATTATTCATATTTGTAAAATATTTTCAACAAGTAAAACTGCAAGCTACTGCTCACTGACGATACTCCAACCGCAACTGGATAATTTTAATTGTGTAAAAATATGTAAGTGTTCGGTAAACAGGAAGTTGTTGAGTGATGAATCTGAAAACGCATCACACGGTATAGCTGACTTATATAAACCCTGAAACCAAATTTCAGAAATCCTTATGATAGAGATCCTGAGAAAGACGCGGCGAAAAATATTCATGGGACAGATGGACGGACTGATGGATGGACAGACGGACTGACGGACAGACAAAGGTAAAACAGTATACCCCTACGTTTTTAAAGCGGGGTATAAAAAATCTCTGTATTCCATTATAACTTGTTTTATACCTGATAACTGTATTTAGAAAAGAAATATGAAGCATTATTTGGTATGACAATAGGCAATTGAGCTTTCAACTAAAATTAAATATTTTATAACAAATACAGGCACATATTATCTAACAAAACTGATAATTCTCTCTGAAATGAAAATTGTGGTTGCACAATTAAAGCACTTCCATGTGAAATACAAACAAAAAGCAACAATGTATCACATTTACTCAATTAAATTTAATGACTTTTTACACAGGAATTTCTATTCCAAGAAGTGTTAATGACATTATTCTACAGTCAAAATTGTTGTACCATCACCATCTGTATAATAAATCAGTGTATAAAGAGCCTTGTAAATATTTTCTATCTAAGTCAGTAAAATAAACCTCTTCCCAGAGGGCTTTTGCTTATAAAGTCATTTACTCCTCTGTTTTATGTGCCCTTTTTCAGTTTTCTTAGTAGTCACATTCTTCTGTGCTGATATCTTTGGTCAAATTCAGATAACTAAATAAACCTCAGAATCTATCTTCTACATACATGGGACATAGTAGCTTCAGATGTATCTTTGAAAATTAAGAGGAATTACCGGATATATTAAATACCACTGCATCCAGTGAAATCTATTTTTCTCCAACAAAGACATTTCAATTTTTACATTTCAAAACATGAGAGCATTTTAAATATTGGATATTTTTCAAGAATGTAGAAATATAGATTCCATCACTGCAATAAGTGTGTTAAGATATTTCTCCACTCGAGACAGTTGAATATTAATATTTAAAGCGCGAGGCTTGCCAAGCTTTTTAAATATTTAAATTTAGCTGTTGAGAGTGGAGAAAAATCGTAATAAAAGTGTTATAGTGGTGGAATCTGTTTCTCTGATGATTTTAATCCTTCCTTTTCAAAGATTTGCAGAAAGTTGTGTTCTTTATACGTGACGTCATCAGGCATGGTTGCCTTTTTTCATGACGTCACAATAGGAAATTCAGAAGAAATCAAGAAAAATTTAACATCATAATTAGATTTCGACCAATCATTTGCTGAGAACAGATATTTCACTAGTGAGGAGAAATATTTTTCTCACACCGCTCAAGAAATATGAAAATAGCACAAAAATTAGACAAATATTAAATCTAATGCAGAAACATCATCTGTTTCTTTCCTGATTTTATCATGATAAATAAACAAATTTTGACGATATTTCTTGAGATTTGCAGAAAATTATAATCTTTCAGTCTGACATTGCTTTCTTTTCTTGCAATTTTAGAAAACAAAATGAGAACAACATGGAAATTTCATGTCATAATCAAATTTCATCCATTGAAAAAGTTCGAAAATTTAACCATATATTAATCAGAATATTAATTTCCAAGTAAAATAAAAACCTATAATTTCACATGTGAAATAACTCTGATAATTTTGCTCCTCTGAAGTCATAAAACAAATGATGTTGTCGACACATTGTCAACAACTTTGAATCAAAATAAATTGAGTATGCATAGAACATATATATTGTCTCTTGCGTTTTCTATTTAATTCAATCTAAAAATCCATGGTCAATGTAATAAAAAGAATAACTAATCCAAGAATTCAACTAACAAAAAATATTCAACTCATTTCTGAACAACACTAATAGTTTACTCATGTGCCATGTGCAATTGTGTTTTTCTGAGACGCATTTAACATTTTCTACACAGTCAAACCTGTATTAAGCAGTCGTTCATGGGAAGTAACAAAAATGAACGTTCAAGAGAGGTGACCTTTTAAATGAGGTTCAGAAAAAAAATTTGATTCCGACATCGCATGTGGACGGGATTGGGGCATATTGTTTAAGTGTTTTCAATTGGTAGAGTTATCGTTCGTGCAAGCAGACATATAAAAAATGGCAGTTTCTGGCACTCTAAATTTGAAGAAAAGATTCTAAATAGTTAATATTTGTGGATAAATGAGTTGATGATACGGTTTACAATGGAAACTGAAAGGAGTGGAACATGAGAAATTCACAAATTCCCCCCCTATTGTGCGATCTCTGTTACAAACAGGTTCCAAATCTCATTTTGACCTCTAAACTGAACACAAATATTTTTCGTCATGATTATATTTTGGTTGTTAAAAACATAAAAAGGACCTTTGTTAAAAGTTGAAATGACGATTTCGTGCGAAAATTAGGTGACCGCTGACTACGTAAGACAGGTGACTGCTGAAAAGAGTTAAATTATATAGAGAAAACATTTGGGAGGGTCTGAAAGTGACCGCTAGAGGCAGGTGACCGCTGAAACGAGGTGACCGTTAAGGTAGGTTTGACTGTACTTAGAATTCTTGAACAAGTTATTTTATAAGTAACAACCTCTGTAATAATATTTATATTGCACTACAAGATGTATAATGATGTATGTACAAAGTTAAATCTACCAATGAAATTATCCAATGACTTGTATCATATTCATGAAAAAAACATGTTAAGTAAATGTAGAACATATATATATATATATATGATCTTTCTCCCATTATCAACATGTAAATAATATCATTTATAAAGATAACCGTATTGTCCTTTATAAGTATTGACTCCCTGGAATAAATTGAAAATACAATTTTTCTATCTACTAAGCAAAGCTTCACCAAGATGTTTAACAGTATTCACCAGTATAACAGTGTTTGAACTTCAACACATGTCAAGTTGGCACACAACTGGTATACCCCAGTGCAAGTATTATTTACTACCAGAGTTTTAACAGTCTTGTGAGTAAGCAAGGGACTATGTTGAAAGCTTATCTAAGACAATGTAATAACATGAAGTCTTAGCCTTGAACTGGAAAGTCCTTTGAGATTTGATAATGGTTTGATATCAAGGGTAACAATTCTCCTATTCCTTTGATGACCCATTAAACAGCTTTGTTCTGACATTGGGTAAAGTCCATGTCGTGGTCATCTTGTTGAGTGGTGCACGGGGACTACGAAACAACAAAGAACTGTCATTCATTCGGGGTGTAGTAATCTGTGGGAAACTCGATGATAGATTGGAATACTGATGAACTCTGGCAGGACTTGGCCACCTGTAAAAATGGTTATATTGTAAATAACAATTTTCTTTTTTCTGAAGAAAATATTATCAAATGGATTTTAAAAAAAATTTAAACTTTTGAATTAAAAAAAAAAATAAAATGCTTCGCTGAGCGCAGCCAGATACGACCGCAGAGGTCTAACCCTGAACAGTTGGGGCAAGTTTGGACACAATATTCAAGCTTGATACTTTCTGAATTTGGATTGTGATCAAATTTTTTTGACATAATATAGGTTTCTGACACAAAATAAATGTGGTCAAAGATCTTAAAAATTTGAAATGGGACATTTAATTTACCTAGAATGGTCTGATATCCAAAATCTAACAACATGGTTAGATTCAGCATATAAAAAAACACCAAAAATTTAATTTTAGTTGAAATCAAACAAAGTTTAATTTTAGACCCTTCAAACCTTAATATGGACTAATTTGAAAACAGGGTCCAAAATAAAAAATCTAAATGCACAATAAGATTCAGCATATCATACAGCCGCAATAATTCAGTTTTTGATGAAATCAAACAAATTTTAATTTTGGACCCTTTTGACCTCAATGTACATGATGTAGACCAATTTAAAAATGGGGCCCAATATCCAAAAAAGCAAAACAAGGTTAGAACCCCCAAGACTTTAAATTAATCCCATTGAAATTGGTTAAAAGATTTGTATTTTTTTTCTATTGAAGACTTCTTGCTATTGTGCAATACTGTGCAATTTAAGATTTCTTGCTATTGTGCAATACTGTGCTATTGCGCAATACTGTGCTATTGCACAATACTGTGTTGTTGTGCAATACGGGCCAATTGAAGATTTCTTGCTATTGCGCAATACTGTATAATTGAAGATTTCTTGCTATTGCGCAATACTGTGCAATTGAAGATTTCTTGCTATTGCACAATACTGTGCTATTGTGCAATTGAATATTTCTTGCTATTGCGCAATACTGTGCAATTGAAGATTTCTTGCTATTGCGCAATACTGTGCAATTGAAGATTTCTTGCTATTGCGCAATACTGTGCAATTGAAGATTTCTTGCTATTGCCCAATACTGTGGTATTGATCAATACTGTGCTACTGCGCAATACTGTGCAATTGAAGATTTCTTGCTATTGCGCAATATTGTGCAATCATTTGAAATTTCAAAAATTTGAATAAAAAGAAATATGAACCCCCAAAAAAAATTTGAAAAAAAATCCCCCCAAACTTTTTGCAGTCCCTCCCCCTTGGAGTAATTACCACCAAATTAATCCCAGCCTTCCCTTGTGGTATGGAACCTTGTAGTACAATTTTAGAGAGATCGATACACTTTAAACACAAGTTACTGTCTGGAAACTAGAAAAATGCTTGTTTTCTGCCCCTTTCTTGCCCCTAATTCCTGAACCGATTGGGCAATTACCCCCAAACTCAATTCCAGCCTTCCCATTGTGATATGGAACCTTGTGGTACAATTTCTGAGAGATCTATACACTAACACACAAGTTATTGTCCGGAAACTACAAAAATGCTTGTTTTTGGCCCCTTATTCCTAAACTGTTGGTACCATAACCCCCAACATCAATCCCAACCTTCCTTTTGTGGTATTGAACCTTCTGGTAAAATTTCTTAGAGATCCATTCACTTTTAAACTAAAGTTATTGTCCGGAAACCAAATGAGTCTTTGGACGACGCTGACGACGATGACAACGACGACGACACCATAGCATTATACGACACAAAAAAATTTTTTGCGGTCGTATAACAAAGAACAGAAAGTGATTCTCAAACTTCCATGTCACAAGAAGGTATAAAGCTAATATTCAAGTAAAAAGTATTTATATAAACTGTAAGTCTGCGAAATGATAAAAATATGCATAGCTAGTGTCATACTACCCTTATGTTCCAAAGGGTTTTGATATATCTTTTATCAAGTGTTTATAATGTTTATATATGAACTCTTCCAACATTCCAAAAACACACAAAACAGTACAGCTAAATCATTGTGATGTCTATCCTTGATATGTTGTCATGGTTATGTATTGGCATATATATAATTATCTTAATGTAGCAAGTATCATAATCCTTTCAGTGTTGTTTTCTTTTAAGTTTTCTGTAACATATACTGACGACCACGTTTATCTCGACCCATTGTCTCTTTAAAACGAGCATTCTGAGAGTATTGCATGGCAATACATAGTCCCCTACCTGATAAAAAATTAATTGTACTGGAACAAAATGATAACTTGATCTATAACTGGTCATGGTGTAAACTATACATGCTATATAACAATTATCAAGTCAATATCTTCAAGCATGACGAAAAAAAGGGTGGAAAACTGATTATTTAAGTGAATTTTCTAAGTCCAAGGACATATCTCTGCACAAAATCATCACACCGAAACAAAATTCGAACTTGGTCTGTAACTTGTCATGGTAAAACTATATACCAATTATCAAATCAATATCTTCAAGCATGACCAAAAACAGTGTGTAAAACTGGTTATTTGAGTGAATTTTCTAAGTCCAAGGACCATAACTCTGCACAAAATTATCAGACTGGAACAAAATTCGAACTTGATCTGTAACTTGTCATGATAAAACAATATACCAATTATCTTATCAATATCTTCAAGCATGAAGAAGAAAAGTGGAAAACTGATTTGCCTGACTGACGGATGGACAGACGGACGGAGTGCAAACCTAAAGTCCCCTTCGACTTTGTCAGTAGGGGACTAAAAATCACAGAACACTTAAGAAATATAATATAAAACTGCTGAATAAAATACTAACTCATTGCCTATTTCTGACATCCTGGCAGAAATCAATGACCTCCATCGATGTATATAAGGATAATCTGTTTTATTGATGGGGTGATCATCCATAGCTCTGTGGGCATCAAGGTCGGTCTTTGTTGGTAATGGACTGTAAAAAAAAACACATGTTTAATGTCCAATTGCAAATATTACATGTATTTCAGGCTAAAATATGTAAAAGTGATATGAATATGAACTCTACTTTGTACTGCACCTGAAACGCTAAGTCCTACTTTTCTAAGTTGTTGTAAACGAGAAACCATGGGCTCTGCTCATTGTTGAAGACCTTATGGTGACCTATAGTTGTTAATTTCTGTGTCATTTGGTCTCTTGTGGAGAGTTGTCTCATTGGCAATCATACCACGTCTTCTTTTTATATGTCAGCCTATTCAGAAAAGTTATTCTAACTCTAAGCCGTCCAGTGTTTGCTTATACTCCCAAATGCTGCATGCTTAGCCGATTAGCAGCAAATCCAAATTTTAAAGTCTTTGGTATGACAGTATGACCTGACAAGGAATGAAACCCACAATCTCCTGTCCTTGAAGTAAGCACGCTTCAAAGAGACCACAGGGCCAGTTGTATATAAATGATGTGCATATTGAAAATATTGTTATTTAGGCCAATTTTCACTGATGTCTAAAGGTTTTAAATGATAGACATACCCATTGATAAAATAACTCCTTTGATAAAAACAATTCCTAACCAGAAGAGCTTGCTTCATCTGTTCTCTGACGAAATGAAACTTCAAATTAACAATCACAATGGAATCGGCAAAATTAACTTCAGCAGTATTCAAATATTCACAGGAAGTCAGTTTGAATGGAACTCTGGGAAAAACTTTCATCTCATTTAGATTCATGTTTAATGGCACAACAGCCACAGTGGCATGTATTTCTTGTCCTTCACGAAGGTCGGATTGGGTCAAATCATAATCAATAACAAAGTCTCGATTCCAAACATCATCACTGAATTTCATAAAATCCATTTCCTCTAAATTCATATTTGATTTCCGTCTTTCATTCACAGCTTCAAACATGGCTTCAAAGATATTCTCGGGAGTTTTGTTCTTATTCATTTCAAAAACAATATCTAAGTGAACATACGTAGGCTTTTCTTTACCACTTGTTCTCCGTTTTCTTTCTGGAGTTTGAGAGCATTCTGAGGTAGCAACATCGCTAACACACACTTTCTGATCAAATTTATCCGTCAAGTCATCAACATTTGATGCTCCAGTTTCTAAACCTTTGTTTTTAGAGTTTGAGTCATTTTTTGGTTCACATGTTACTTTTTCTTCCAGATTAAACTTAGATTCTATAATTACATCTTTCTTTTCTTGTTTTATGTCATTTTCAACCATTTGAACATTTTCATCCACGTCACATGTCTCTAACTTTGAGCCCTCATCACTGAGAGATGATAATGACGAGGAATTACTATCATTGGCCTTATCTCTCCACAAGGAAACATTTTTATCTTCAAATTGGTTAGCTGAAGCTGGAGACTGGCTCCTGTCGGTATTTTCATCAGAAGAATTTTCTTCAGCAATATCATCACAAACCCTATTTGGAACACTTCCATTACAATAATTTTCTTCTGGTTTCTTCTCACAGAGTTCTATGTTCTTATTAATATCTCGCTTTTCATAATTTTCGGAAATCGGATCCATCCCCCTTGGCGGTGAATTGTAAGGTTTTGAACCATTCTTCTCATGAGGGGAGGAGGCAGAACGGTCTCCAATACAGGAATTACAACTAACAGATCTTCTCTTCTGCCTAATTGATCTGTCTAACAATGAAAGTTTAGAAAACAAAGCAGTCAAGCATCCCATTGGACTCGAAGATGCACTGAAACTTTCCTGCATAAAATCACTACTGTCCATCGACCATGTCATGTAATTTTTACCATAATCATAAATGTTATGCTTGGGCAAATGCAAACTTTCCTCCATTTCAGATGTATTTAATGGAGAACTGGTTTTTGGAAGTCCTTTACATAAGAAGCTATTTTCCTCAAGAATCTGAGGGGATATACTGCGTTGACCTAATGAACCATTTATTGACTGAAATAACGAAGAATTTAAAAATGATGAGTTCATAGGGTTACTGCTCTGATTGGCTGTAATAAAACTATCCTCCGTATCAGACTTTACTTCTATTTTATCTATCTTTTCAGCAATACACAGTCCTAAACTTTGTCTATGTAGAAAATCTTCAAAAAGATCAAGGCCATCTTCTGTAGTAAGATCAGCATAGGTTTGTAAGAAGCTCCAGTATTCTACCCATGGTATCTGGTACTCATGTGCTATCTCTCTACAAAAACAGTAAAATCCTGATTATGAATAGTTAAAGATGAATGTTTCACATTAAACAAATATTTGTTCAGCCATTCATTATATTATTATGAAAAACAGATCCAGGTTAGCACTCAACTAAAATGTTTAATGCTGCTAGCCTACAAGACTAACAAAGGCCAGAGGCAGGAGCTGGCGTGTCGGTGGCTGCTGGTGGTCTGTTGTTATTTGTGTATTGTTGTTGTTTTGTTTGTTTTCTTTTGTTTCCTGTTCTGGCATCGGACTCCGACTTCTCTTAAACTGAGTTTTACTGTGCGTACTGTTGTACGTTTGTTTTTTCTATATTGGCTAGAGGTATAGGGGGAGGGTTGAGATCTCAAAAAACATGTTTAACCCCGCCGCATTTTTGCGCCTGTCCCAAGTCAGGAGCCTCTGGCCTTTGTTAGTCTTGTATCATTTTTAATTTTAGTTTCTTGTGTATAATTTGGAGTTTAGTATGACATCCATTATCACTGAACTAGTATACATATTTGTTTAGGGGCCAGCTGACGGACGCCTCCGGGTGCGGGAGTTTCTCGCTGCATTGAAGACCAATTGGTGGCCTTCGGCTGATGTCTGCTCTATGGTCGGGTTGTTGTCTCTTTGACACATTCCCCATTTCCATTCTCAATTTTACAATTGGTAACAGACTAAAAGAATACATTTCACCTTACAAAGTCAGATTATTTAGACTTTCTTTGCTTTTCTATGTATATACTGTGTAATTATCAGAGATCATGCACAAATCTGTGGTTTGATCGACCAAGAATAAAAACGTGGCCTATTTCACAAGTAAAGTAGAAGATTATGCTGGACTAACAGATTTCATTTAATCAATATAACAGCTGAACTCAGGTTTTTGTCAAGTTTTTCCAATGTTGGTGTTTATAGGAATTTGGCCTACCGTTAAATTTGAGATTGAGCAGGATTATAGCAAAGTTTGCTACTTGTTTTTAGAACAATAGATTGGTATGTTCTGTTCTACATAACTTATATGAATTCAGAAAAACGAACAAAAACTTATCTAGTGCATAATAAATAAATAGGGAATGTGTCCATGGGACACAGATGATGCCCGTGCTTGCATATAACGTTATAAAGGGACATAACTCAAGATTGGTAAAATTGACACTACCCAAATTCGTACTGGATCTGATTTTTGTGGTAATAAGCAATGTGTATAAGTTTCATAAAATTTGGTAAAGGCAAACTTAAGTTAGAAGACGGAAATAAAAAATTCAGCAATTTTTCCATTTGTAAAGGAGAATAACTCTAGAACGGTAAAAGTGACGCCACTAAAATTCAATCTTGATCTGTGTTTTGTGGTAATAAGCATTGTGTATACGATTCATAACATTTAGTTGAGGCAAACTAAAGTTAGAGAATGGAAACCAATTTTGGGAAGTATGGACGGACGGACGTACAGATGGACAAGGGTAAAACTTAATGCCCCCTCCGCTACGGCCGGGGCATATAAATGTATTAGGTGGCACTAGTGGAGCAGAAACTGCTTAACCTACCTGTAAACCTTTATTTAATCTTTACTTGTTATTCAATCTTTACTTGTTATTCAATCTTCACTTGTTATTCAATCTTTACTTGTTATTCAATCTTTACTTGTTATTCAATCTCCACTTGTTATTCAATCTTTACTTGTTATTCAATCTTCACTTGTTATTCAATCTTTTGCTATTATGAATCCAGCTGATCCAACTATGTAGTATTTTGTGAACTGCTGTTTTGTTTTTTCATTGACTTATGATTTTACATTGTTTTCTTAGTATCTTCTCCCTCTTTTTTAAAGACTTTTTATATCTCCTGTTATACAGGATGTATTATGGTATACGGTAGTCCTTCTGTCACACTTTGTATGATAACCCAAATTTGGTTAACCTTTTCTCATGAAATTTTAACATTAGCATTGAAAAAAGAAAGCTCCACTTTGGATTATTAAAATTTTCCTATCATGTTCCAGAGTAGAAGAATTAAACCGTGCTAACTCCAGTATGATTTGATTGATTTCCTCAGAACTTAATACTATTGCCTGAGACAAGCTGAAGTAATTCTCAGGCAAATAAAACCTACAATGTACTTGTCAAATGCCAGGCAAGTAACAAAAAAAAAGTTGAAGACTTGGCAAAATATTGAATCTAGCCATTTTTATTTCTCTTTTTGTCATCATAAAACCATCTTAATAAGTTCTTACAATATTGTTTAAATTCACCATTGATGTGACTAACCTTTTACTAATATCAACATACAGAATCATAAAAATTTAAGGTTGACAAATGCACCACAAAAATGAGGTCAAGGTCAGATGAACCCTGCCAGAAGGATATGTACACCTTACAATCATTTTATATTGCTGACCTATTGCTTATTGTACATGAGAAACACAAAAAACTTGACTTTGAACACTGACCCATGAAGTAAAACAAAGGTCAGGTCTTATAGAATGTATACCTTGCAATACTTTTATATGCAAAAAACAAAGTTGTCCTAACACTCACAATAACTTAAAAAATCATGTGATGAAAAACCTAACAAGTTTTATCAAGCAGATGTTGAACCATGAAAATGAGGTCAAGGCCAAACCAAAGTTCAGAACATAAATGGCATCTGTATTCAAGTTATGAAGTTTTCTACCTATTCAAATATAATAAAGCTTTATACAAATAGTTTACACTGTCACTGAATTTATAGCATCCCTATGCCTCCCATAATAACAAATATTGAATAAACTGAGACGATCTTGCATACAACATAGAAGCATTGACAGATGGCTACTGTAGGATACAGAGTGATTACTATTGGGCACCAAAAGGGCCCTAATAAAAAATTACAGCTGATCCAACTGATTAAACCTAACTCTAGAAGATTATAATATTACCTTCCTATTCTCTCCACACCTTTATCACTATCCTCTCGTTTTGTGAAGACAAATTTCTGTTTGACATGGTCTGGACTACCAGATGGTGGAGTCATCCATCTCTTGTGAAATAACACTGCCTGGAAGAGATAAAAACACTCTCCAAATTTCATATTATTAGATGCTTGATATAACAGGTGTTTTTTTTGTGTCTGAAAACGTTCTGTAATTTCATGCTTGTCATCCCAATTAATTGGAGGAAAAAAGCTAAGTACTCTAATATTAAAACACTGACCTTCAAGAAGCATTGTTGAAAACCCTATGTCAATATCATTGCTGTCAAATTGTTACTGCTTACACTATTATCAGTTAGTCATTACCTAAGCCTAGACACAACATATGATATGCATTTTTATAAATTTTCAGTAATATGATATATATATAAAGTTAATAAATTTTACTTTTTTCATTTGAACAAAGGTTGCATAGAAGCGATTTCAAAATGCCAATATTTGAATTTTTATTTCTAAATGGAATACTGTAAATTCAGAAATTTGTCCATATGAAAATAAGGAGATGAGGTATGATTGCCAATGAGACAACCAAGTAAGCAATTACAGGCAACCGTACGTACATGTATTTATTTTTGTTAAACAATGAAAAAAAATGGAAGATTATATATAAAGCTATTGAAATTTAATATTCAAGGTTTTATAATTGAGAAACATATTCCATTGCAATATTTTGCTTAAATAAAAACATCCCAAAGATTTATGAATTATACTTTTTTTGGTATCATATATATTAATTTGTTTTACTTCACTTGACTCTGTTAACTTTTGGCCTTTGAAAGATACTGATATTTTGGCAAAAAACATGCATCATAAACTGTAATTGCATATCTTGCATAATGTTTAAAACACCATTTGTAAACAACTAAAATTCTAAAGAATCTATAACGGTGATGGTTTTTAATTTAGCCTTATTTCATTTCTTGTATTAATTTCCATTTTCTTTAAACTTCAGACATGTCAGAAGTAGTTTCTTCTGTTAATTGCCCTAGAAATTCTGTAAATTTTCTTGTATTTATATGTTTTTGTGTTGAATTGTTCGCCCATAATAACTATGACCTTTTTGAAAATAAAAAAAAACTAGAGGCTCTAAAGAGCCTGTGTTGCTCACCTTGGTCTATGTGCATATTAAACAATGGACACAGATGGATTCATGACAAAATTGTGTTTTGGTGATGGTGATGTGTTTGTAGATGTTACTTTACTGAACATTCTTGCTCCTTACTATTATCTCTATCTATAATGAACTTGGCCCAGTAGTTACAGTGGAAAATATTTTGTAAAAATTTACAAAAATTTACAAAATTTATGAAAATTGTAAAAAATTGACTATAAAGGGCAATAACTCCTTAAGGGGTCAATTGACAATTTTGGTCATGTTGACTTATTTGTAGATCTAACTTTGCTGTACATTATTGCTGTTTACAGTTTATCTCTATCTATAATAATATTCAAGATAATAACCAAAAGCTGCAAAATTTTCTTAAAATTACCAATTCAGGGGCAGCAACCCAACAACATGTTGCCTGATTGGTCTGAAAATTTCAGGGCAGATAGATCTTGACCTAATGAACAATTTTATACCATCAGATTTGCTCTAAATGCTTTGGTTTCAGAGATATGAGCCAAAAACTGCATTTTACCCTATGTATTATTTTTTTGCCATGTCGGCCATCTTGGTTTGCGGGCAGGGTCATCGGACACATTTTTTAAACTAGATACCCTAATGATGATTGTGGACAATTTTGGTTAAATTTGTCTTAGTAGTTTCAGAGGAGAAGATTTTTGTAAAAGATTACAAAAATTTACGAAAAATGGTTAAAAATTGACTATAAAGGGCAATAACTCCTTAAGGGGTCAACTGACCATTTTGGTAAAGTTGACTTATTTGTAGATCATACTTTGCTGAACATTATTGCTGTTTACAGTTTATCTCTATCTATAATAATATTCAAGATAATAACCAAAAACGGCAAAATATCCTTTAAATTACCAATTCAGGGGCAGCAACCCAACAACGGGTTGTCCGATTCATCTGAAAATTTCAGGGCAGATAGATCTTGACCTGATAAACAATTTTATCCCATGTCAGATTTGCTCTAAATGCTTTGGTTTCAGAGATATAAGCCAAAATCTACATTTTACCCCTATGTTCTATTTTTAGCCATGGCAGCCATCTTGGTTGGTTGGCGGGGTCATCGGACACATTTTTTAAACTAGATACCCCAATGATGATTGTGGCCAAGTTTGGTCAAATTTGGCCCAGTAGTTTCAGAGGAGAAGATTTTTGTAAAAGTTTACGGACGACGGACGCAAAGTGATGAGAAAAGCTCACTTGACCTTTCAGGTCAGGTGAGCTAAAAAGCAAACATTATGGATTCTTTTGGTGGAAATCTGATACTTTTTTAAATTCTTAACTATTTTTCACCTTAGATGGTGTCATGGGACCAGCACAAGCCTTGACAGCCATAAGAGGATCTTTTGGACTCCAGGTACCAGTAGCTACATTCAAAGGCACCTTGGAACTGTCAGGTGACCAAGGCTGGCCAATAAGAGGCTGAGTAGAATTATCTTCTGCTCTCAGTAATGGAACATAAAACTGGCCTGTAATGAAACAGAATGATATTTAAAATTGAAACATTGAAACTATCATCAAATGAAAATTAAAGGATATATATATATATATATTTCTAAGAAGTAGGAAGACATATTTTCATACCTTAAGGTGGTACATAACACTACAGGGAGATAACTCTTTAAAAATCAGCTGAACGTTTTAATCACATTCTATTGTTAAGGAAATATTAAGCTTCTCAATGATTGAAATAAGTGTTTGTCAAACTGCTATATATCCAATGTTTTTTTTTACGATAAAGTGTGTGATTCAAGTTTTTTGAAATTTTTATATTTTTGTCAAAGGGTCAAAGTCAATAGTTTGTTAAAATTTTATGAAAATTAAACCAGCCAAATTAATTTTAGGCAAGGTGTTTGGTACCACCTTAACATACGCAGCAATTTGCAGAGTGAATTCATTAACCTTTTTTCATTTTAGATAGGGAAAATGTTGACTTATATGTGCCACTTCCTATTTCATGAAGTAACTCTAAGGAAACACTGATCTGCTTTTAAACAGCTATGTCTTTTTTTACTGATTTGAAATAATAAGATTTTTTGTGCTCAGTCCATGAATCATTTTGTCACTTTTGATAGAAATGTTAAGTGTTTGAAAAAATTCTGATGTTCAGTACTTCTATAATCAAACAATCTTTTAAAAAATTATTTTTCAAAAATGATAAAATCAATTAATATCCACAGGGCTAATTTTTGAAACACAATTTGTTTCACACAAGTTTGTTGTTCAAACTTCAGTAAGGGTATACTTTTTGTCCTTTCTGCCAGTTTTTGATGTAATCTGTCTTTTACCTTCTAGTAAATCTCTTATCTCAGCTTTCTGATCTTGTGTAGGAGTTTTTAATCTGGTGCATATTACCTAAAATAACAATAAGACTAGTTGTCAAATTTTAAACAATAACTATGTATATATTTATTTATACTGAGTGCCTGTAGAATGCAACACATCGTAGTCTAAACAATGGTTTGTCCCTTTAATATCAATACAAAAATGTTGTTCGAATGCATTCCTCAATCATTTGCTACAGAATACATAAACAGCTTGGTGTTGCATTGATCTTTTTCAGTTCAGAAACATGTAATTTGTCCCATATGGGTCAAAATCAAAATTTCCAAATGTGATCACTTTAGACCAAATTTAGTAAAACTGTTAATCTTCATTACTTTTTGTTAACCTTTGCCATAGTGGTTAACTATGATGGAAATTCGACATCCAAAATGTAAATTTCAATTTGTTGGTCAACAAAAGAAGAATGTGTCTGAGGACAACATTGCCACGGCTCAAGCTTTGCAATTTTCCAAGTTAAAAAGGGGCATAACTCTAGAAAGGTAAATGACTCACTATCCAAATCGGAACTGTCTGTGTGTTGTGGTTCTAAGCATTGTGTATGAGTTTCATAAAATTTGGTTAGGCAAAGTTCAGTTAGAGTGCGGAAACGAAAATGGATGTACAGAAGAACGGACGGACAGAGAGACAGACGGACAGTCAAGGGTAACACTTAATGCCCCCGTTGCCTACGGCAGGGGTATAAAAAATCAGGAATTTGTAAAAGTTATATTTTGAAATTAAAAAAGCTCTGAAAGCAGCTTAAAATGTTCTATAAGCATATCCTAGGAAGTCTTTAAAACTCTAGAACAATTGATCAATTTACAAAGGAGATCTATTGGTTTGAATTTTTATCAAATGGAAAAAAAAACATGTTGGAGTTTTTTAGTGTTTCTATTGACAGTCAAAATTCATATATATGCATCAAGGTTAAACTAGTTTTTTTTATCAACCATCTCTTTTAAATCTTGATCAGTGAACTAACAAAAAGTACACAACTCATTTCATGCATATGAAACAGCAATGGAAATTCCACTATTTCAATATTACAAATCACATCAGTGTTCCCCCCAGGGCCATTAGCATCATGGTAATGTGATGCTATATTGCTAGAATGTGATGCTATCTGAATTGATTTTCTTATAGATTGTGTTATGGATGTGATGCTATAATTTTTAGAAACAAGATGGTATTTCAAGTTTCCCTGTTTACCAGGATTCTAAATGAAATATATTGGGAGAAATCTGTCAAAGGTCAGAAAACTTATCTATACCACAAATAGAATTGTGCTTATAATTACAACTATTACGGCCAAATAAAAATTACAGTCAGGAGACTGCAATTCAGTCGTTGTATTTAGTTGCTTTCAGTTATGTTTTGTAATAAAAATTATAAATATCTGGCTGTTGGTTTTCTGGCTTGAATTGTTTCGCATTTTGTCATGTCAGGGACTTTAATAGCTGACTATACTGTATGGGTTTTTCTCATTGTTGAAGGCCATACACTGACCTATAGTTGTTTACATGCAGATCATTTGGACTCTGATGGAAAGTTGTGTGATTGGCAATCATACCACATCTCCTTATTTTAATATAGCAATATCTCTAAAGTTTAATACAACTGCAATATTTAATACTATTCTTACATCTCTTGGAGTTTCTGCATATTTGTTCTTTAGAATTTTGTCAACTTTTGGATGAGAAGCCAGGACTGCTACCACATCTGTGTATCCAAACTTACAGGCAAAATGTAGAGGAGATTCACAACACTGAAAACATAAATATATGTAATAATGAAAAACAAAAGTTAACTTTCTAAAATATGTAATAAAGAAAAAAGCAGAGTTAACTTTCTTACAAGGTCTGGATCTGCGTCCCTGCATGTAATTGATTGAGGTAACATGAATACTGGAGCATAACTGATCACTCCCTTCCACTGATGCCAAGAAAACTTTGACTAAAATTTTCTTTGTACAATGATTGTTGTAAAATTCCGAACTATGGACAAACAGGAAGTAGATACAAGGCAGAGGTAAAAATTGCTTACTCACTACAACTCAACTTTATCAAGATGCAGACAAAAAATCATTCCTATCAATAGGAGCCGAGAAACTTTGACTAAAATTTTCCTCAAGCATGGTAAAATTTCAAACTATATGCAAGCAGGAAGTGGATACAGGGCAGATGTAAAAATTGCCTACTGGCTATATTTGATTGACTAGGTATGCATGCATAGCTGGAGACACTTATCCTGTCAACACACACTGTCTCACTCATTTTGGAGTGCATGCAATATCCTTTTTTTCATCATCTTGATTTGTATTTCAAAAATGGATTTCCGATTTTTGAACATCTGTATACTACTGTTTCCTCTTATTTTCAAGCATAATAATTCTAAATTTACAAATACTGATTTCAGAATATTTCCTACCCCTTTATCAGGAGTGTTGAGATACAAATCAACAACAAAGTTCATTCTATCTGTCCTGGTACACTCAGTTTCTTTAGTGTGTCCATAGAGCTTATCAAGGAAGCTTGGATCTTCTAAGATATCCAGTATCAGCTGACATACTTGTGGCTGGTTACTCTTGGCTGCTACGTGTAAAGCATTGTATCTTGGTCCTTCCTGTCAATACAGATAAAGATTATGTTTAATTTACTTTTTTTTTTTTTTAACAATTAAATCATCTTTATTGCACTAAATGCTGTTTAACAATTTACTTAGCTTACAGCATTGGGCTAAGTTTCCCTGTGTATTTAAAATTATTATATATCCAGGGAGAATATATAATAAAATATATATAAATGTTAGTATTATACAATTAAACATAATACATAATATAAATAAACGTCAATATAAACTGATGTTTAATTTACTGTAAATTCAGAAATTATTGCAAGGTGTTTATTCATGCGAATAAAGAATGCACATTCTGATATCTGGTTTTCCTTAAATCGCAATAAATAATTTTGCGTTTTTGTCAACTCTACAAAAATCACAATAATTAATGCACACAAAAATTTCTTTACAGCTATTTCAATTGGCAGACCGGAGCTTCACTGCTATGTGTAAAAGTTAGGATCATATCTAGGTATTTCTTTTCGATATAAATTGTAAGATCAAGAATTAAATCATATATCAGCCTGAAACCTTGGACTTGGATCATTGTATCTGGGTTCTTCAAATCAATTTAAATCAAGATTTATATATCTATATATATATTAGTCTTACATTGTTGCTATTTTTAGACATTATATATTAGTCTTACAGATGTATGTATCAACTGACAAATCTTGAGATTTTTCTTCCTTGTATAAGCACTTCTAATAGGAAACAGAGGATTTTCCCACACTAAATAACGGTATAATAAGAGAAATATCAGCACTACTAATAATGAACTGTGCATTTTCCTCCACTTTTCTTCCTTGTATCATAAGGTTTTTTGTTTGGTAATGTTTTATCCCCACTCGATACCTGTTTAATAAGTGCTGTATCATCAGCAATACTGGTATGCAATAGACGACTTACATGACCGATGTTTTATGAACTTGGTGATGTCTTAGGGTTAGATTTTAGTCAATTATCAATCAACTATTGTGTTGTGATGCCTTATCAGGTGATATGTTTTAAAGAAGTAACATAATGGGTGTCACATGGAGCAGGAACTGCTTACAATTAGGAAACACCGGAGAGGAACTCCAGTTTTTGGTGGGGTTAGTGTTGCTCAGTCTTTAATTTTCTATGTTGTGTTTTGTGTACTGTTGTTTGTTTTTTAGTCGTTTTTTGTTTTCTTGCCATGGCATTGTCAGTTTATTTTGGACTTGTAAGTTTGAATATTATTTTGGTATCTTTTGCCTCTCTTTTTTAAATACTGGTACCTGTATAATTAGTGGTGTATCGGCACTACTGATAAGAAACCTTGGATTTTCCCACACCAGTGTTTCTATGGTTGTGGTATCTCCTTGCTCTATAGCTAATCTAAACTTTGAAATCTCCTGTACTTTAGGAGCTTTGTATGGTGAGCTTTCAAATGATACTCCTGTGCCCATTGTTGATATAAATCCATCTGTTGCCTGAAAAAATAAGTTCCAATTAGATATTTTTAATCTTTCTTGTTTTTCATATTTTGTCCTACACCTGACTGGTTAATGTTTCACAAATTTTCAATGTTTTGTGGCCAAATTGAATCATTCATAATCAAATCAGACTGATACTGTAGATTCATCAATACTCGTGGGATACCAATTTTTGTGGATTTTGTGGGTAAAGTTAAACCACAAATTTAAATGTTCAATGTAGGTTTGTACATGTTGTATGCAGATTTTGGCAATACATGTACTACAAAGGCAATTATTCACAAAAATACATTTTTCCCTCAATCCAAGACAAGAGTGCTCACGCTGAAATGTCTCGCCTTCTTTGCTAACCATTGATATTATGTTGATAGTCCTAAATGAAAGCTTTACTACAACTATTACATAAACTTAACATGATCCAAGAAAATGAAGTCAAGGTCATATAAACCAAACGAGAAATACATGTACACCTTACAATCATTCAATACACTAAATATAGTTGACCTATTGCTTATAGTTTCTAAGAAACAGACTTAACCAAGAAAACTAAACATTGACCAATGAATCATGAAAATGAGATCAAGGTCAGATGAACCATGCCAGGCAGACATGAACAGCTTACAATCCTTCCATATAACAAATATAGCTGACCTATTGCTTATAGTTTAAGAAAAACAGACTGAAACACATAAACTTAACACTGAGCAATGAACCGTGAAAATGAGGTCAAGGTCAAATAAAACTTGCGAGACTGACATGTACATCATAGAATATTTCCATACACCAAATATAGTTGACTTATTGCATATAGTATAAGAAAAAAGACCAAAACTCAAAAACTTAACTTTGACCACTGAACCATGAAAATGAGGTCAAGGTCAGATGACACCTGCCAGTTGGACATGTACACCTTACAATCATTCCATACACTAAATATAGTAGACCTATTGCATAAAGTATAAGAAAAATGGACCAAAACACAAAAACTTAACTATAACCACTGAACCATGAAAATGAGGTCAAGGTCAGATGACACCTGCCAGCTAGACATGTACACCTTACAATCATTCCATACACCAAATATAGTAGACCTATTGCATACAGTATAAGAAAAACGGACCAAAACACAAAAACTTAACTATAACCACTGAACCATGAAAATGAGGTCAAGGTCAGATGACACCTGCCAGTTGGACATGTACACCTTACAGTCCTTCCATACACCGAATATACTAGACCTTTTGCTTATAGTATCTGAGATATGGACTTGACCACCAAAACTTAACCTTGTTCACTGATCCATGAAATGAGGTCGAGGTCAAGTGAAAACTGTCTGATAGGCATGAGGACCTTGCAAGGTACGCACATACCAAATATAGTTATCCTATTACTTATAATAAGAAAGAATTTAACATTACAAAAAATCTTAACTTTTTTTTCAAGTAGTCACTGAACCATGAAAATGAGGTCAAGGTCATTGGACATGTGACTGACGGAAACTTCGTAACATGAGGCATCCATATACAAAGTATGAAGCATCCAGGTCTTCCACCTTCTAAAATATAAAGCTTTTAAGAAGTTAACTAACGCCGCCGCCGGATCACTATCCCTATGTCGAGCTTTCTGCGACAAAAGTCGCAGGCTCGACAAAAATTGGTACCTTAGAGAAATACATGTAGCTAGAGTTATAATTTTTACAGAAGTTTAGAAACCAGATTTTAGTAGTTGAGGTACATACATGTTACACTCCTATTAATCAATAAATAAATCCTTCAAGCATTTGTCCATCTTATATATTAATTATATTTCATAACAAGAATGTGTCCATAGTACACAGATGCCCCACTCACACTATCATTTTCTATGTTCAGTGGACTGTGAAATTGGGGTCAAAACTCTAGTTTGGCATTAAAATTAGAAACATCATATCATAGGGAGCATGTGTACTAGGTTTCAAGTTGATTGGACTTCAACTTCATCAAAAACTTCCTTGACCAAAAACTTTAACCTGAAGCAGGCACTATCATTTTTTATGTTCAGTGGACCGTGAAATTGGGGTCAAAACTCTAATTTGGCATTTAAATTAAAAAGATCATATCATAGGTTCATCAAAAACTACCTTGACAAAAAACTTTAACCTGAAGTGGGACAGACGGACGGATGGACAAACAAACGAACGGATGAACGAACAAACTAATGGACGAAAGAACGGACGCACAGACTGAAAAACATAATATTTTTGAAGATGCAGATCCTATGAAAAATGTCCTTCAGTGATATAATTAGAAATTAATCAAAATGCAAATCTCTTTTAATGCAATTCCATCATGGTTTTGTTTGAAAATAGTGAAAATTAATACCATGAATTATACATCATTCACATGTAAATCATTTGCATAATGACACTGAAGATTCACTATGGCAGAAATGATCAAACAACTTGTTTAACATGAACATGTTTAACCTTAATTAGCTTTTGATGACAGAAAATGATATAGTTAACTTTATTGGCACATGAAATCTTGTCAAAGCCTGTGTTGAATCCAAATCTATCATACTTAACACAATTCCATATGATTTTATTTGTGTGACAGAAATACCACAGGATAACATTTACTAAGTTATACTGTATCAGCTGTGTATATAAATAAGAAGATGAAGTATGAGTGCCAATGAGACAACTATCCATCCAAGTCAGAATGTGTAAAAAGTAAACAATTATAGGTCAAAGTACGGCCTTCAACATGGAGCCTTGGCTCACACCGAACAGCAAGCTATAAAGGGCCCCAAAATGACTAGTGTAAAACAATTAAAATAGGAAAACCAACGGTCTAATCTATATAAAAAACGATAGAAACACTTATGAATTATGTCAAGTCCTTGGCATGCTTGGAAGTTGGATCATAGTATTCCAAAATTCAGTTTCTTTGATCATTGAATAAAACAAGAGTGTGCACATGGCGAAATGTGTCGCCTTCCTAAATTACTACAAATGTAATTATAATTGAATCTTATGTTGAAGTCTATAAGATAAAGTTTGACATAAACTGAATATTATTGATGATAAATGAAAATGAGATAAAAGTTAGAGAGACATGTACTTCTTCCAATCCTTCTTAACAACAATTATAGATGTAAAAATAAAAGGATGTGGTATGACTGCCAATGAGACAACTCTCCAACAGAGATGAAATGAGGTTGAAGTTAACAACTATAGGTCACCGTACAGCCTTCAACAATGAGCAAAACCCACACTTATGAGTTGCAGAATCTGAGAAACTGGCCTTATCATGAAAACTTACAGTCGACAAATACAAACCTATATTAAAAGCTTATAAATGTATCAAGCTATTCTATTTCAAATTCTAGACAAATCAAAAGTACATGGGTAATTTTTAAATGCCTATGTTATCATTTATATACTTATATAAAGAATAAACTTTATATTAAAATACAGTTAATTACATTCAATTTAAAGGAAATGCATTTTATTTGTTCTGCTCAAACAATAATTTTGAAGAAAATAAAGGGGGAATGTGTCCATGGGACACAGATGATACCCCTTGCATATTATGTTATAAAGGGACATAACTCAAGAACAGTAAAAGTGATGGTACTCAAATTTGTACTTGATCTGAGTTTTGTGGTAATAAGCATTGTGTATATGTCTCATAACATTTGGTCGAGGCAAACTTAAGTTAGAGAACGGAAACGAAAAATTCAGCAATTTTTCCATCTGTAAAGGGCATAACTCTAGAAAGGTAAAAGTGATGCCACCCAAATTCAAACTTCATCTGTTTTTTGTGGTAATAAGCATTGTGTATAAATTTCATATCATTTGGTTGAGGCAAACTTAAGTTAGAGAACGGAAACCAATTTCGGGACATACGGACATACAGACAGACAAGGGTAAAACTTAATGCCCCTTCCTCTACGGCTGGGGCATAAAAATCTATTAGCTTTATTACCAACATATGTGTTCTTGATATTTGAATGAAGGTAGTTATTAACTCTTTGTGTCATGATTTGGTTTATTTCTTATAATTATTGATGTTCAAAAACACCTACGAAAATAGTTGAATAGTTGACTAGATCACATATATTTCTCAATATTATAACACAGATTAATGGCAAATTTCCAATAATCTTCAAATTTAAATCACTGTAAAAAGATATAAAACTGATAAATATCTTGACTTTTTTAGTTGTCAAGGAAATACAAATAAGAGTGCTTGAATTTTTACTTTAAAAGATATATGATAAAGAAATGTTTTTTCCTACTAAAATGGTAGATAACTTTATCTACATCAGGAAGTTATCTTTAATTCACTAGTCTTAAAAGTCATGCATTATTTTCTATACAGAGCAAGTCCTCTCTAAATATTTGTAAATATTGTACATACGGGTATTATATATATATGCATTTTATGATGTATTAAAGTAGCTTTGATTTCTCATGTGAGATTTAGTAAACTTTGACCAAAAAACCATGTAAATGAGGTCAAGGTCAGATGAACCCTGTCAGACAGATATGTATACCTTTAAATCATTCTACCAAATATAGCAGACTTGTAACTTGAATTTTCTGAGAAAGATCTAACCAGGAAAATTAGTTTAAACTTTTTACGAATTCATCTTGATATGCATTTAAAAATATGAACAATTTCCTAAATAACCATATATTGTTTGTCAATTCACTATATAAATGTATCAAGCAAAGTTAGATTTTAATTCATTTGGGGATGTTGAGAATATATTTCAAATGCATGCACATCGCTTATAACTGAAGAAACAGATTGATTTTAAATCCTGTACTTAAACAAAGAAAACAACTTTTCTTCAAAATCAATAAATTTGATAACAACTTTAACCTTTGGTGATGAAGGTTTCCATGGTGATGGTGAAGGTTCATCAGCTGAAGACTGACTGAAAAGCCTGGCATCTTGTCTTGATTTGAACACTTTAAACCTGGCACCAGCATACTTTTTGACAGCCTGTAGGGCCTGAGCTTTGTCTTTGAATACCAATTCTTCATCTGAAACAGAAACAGAGACAATTAAAAACCAATTGTTCAGAGAACAATTGAAGGTCTTTCCACCAGTAAGGATCTATTTTGATATGAAAAATATTAAAATTAGGTTTTAAATGTCAATTCCAGCGTCAAATGACAGCTTAATGTACGCTTATTCGAAAAATATATGGTTTCTATACAAAAAAAAATTAATAAGGGAGATAATTTTTGACTACCGGTTAAAAAAATGTCACTTCCGGTATTGTTTGATAGTTTACTTGACACTGATTCCAAAAATATATAGTTCTATATACTTTTACATTAATTTAGTACAATAAATAGCTACTTCCGGTTTACAAAAGGTCACTTCCGGGTGGCTTTTTCAAGGTCAAATGGCTTGCAACCTAATGCAAAAAGTCCCATGGCTTTATCATGTATATATATGAGGTAAAAGCAAAGGTCAAAATATAGAACGTCGAATCAACCTTTGACCTTGACCCCAACAGTGTTTGGGGAGATAACTCTTACAAAGAAAAGTGTTCGGTTAAACAGGGTCAGTTTCAAAAGCGTATAGACTGTATGATATCATATACCAAAAAACTAAGCGACATCTTTTGAAACAAAAATACACCGCAAGAAAAAAATTAGGCGGAAGAAGAAAAAAATAATCAGAAGAAAACCAATAGGTCTTTCCACGGAAAGGTGGAAAGACCTAATTAATAAATCTACAAATTAAAATCATTGAGAACAAGTGCTTCATAAAGTATAAATGTTAATGGTAAAGTGTCTTAAATGTTAATGGTCATGATGGTAAAGTATCTTAAATGTTAATGGTAAAGTATCTTAAATGTTAAATGTTAATGGTAAAGTATCTTAAATGTTAATGGTAAAGTATCTTAAATGTTAATGGTAAAGTATCTTAAATGCTAATGGTAAAGTTTCTTAAATGTTAATGGTAAAGTTTCTTAAATTTTAATCGTAAAGTATCGTTTGAAAAGTCTTTTTTCCTTCATATTGATGATCATATGAGTAATTTTGAGTAATTTGTAACAATTTTACCATTTTTTAAGAATTTTACCATTTTTCATATGAAAGTGTTCACTAATCATCATGCCTAGGTCAATTAATGAGGTCAAATGCAAACCTTATAAAATGAAATATCATTTTCTGTTGTCAAACTTATGGCAAAACAATCATTTATGCTTTAGGAAACTTTGCAATTCATATATTTCTCATCTACAAGAGGAGTTTTATAAGCCTCAGAAGTACAGAAGGCACTCTTTTAATTGTTTAAAAACAAACTGCATCTTGAAAGCAAGTGATATACAAACTCTAGTACAAAACGATTTCTACTTGTGTAAAGTGATTTCTTCTATCAATTATATCATGTATATAATATTACGTAATATGCATTGTTAGAGGCAAGAAATCATTAGTCTTGTTAAAAAGAACACGCAGATTTGTGAGTGATATTCTTTAGTTTTGGCACTAGCAAAATTATTCTGTGATAAAAAAAAATCCTTACAGTAAAAATTCATTTATCTATTACATGCTCTTGGCAGTACATTAAAATTCAAATTAGTTTTATCTCTACATATAATTATAGTATAATAATGAGATATCATGTAATGTCAAACTTCACATCATGCTCACTGTACATGTATAAATTTTATAATAACAAACTTTCTCATATTAATATAAAATAATATATGTGGTTTGATTCACAATGAGACTATCCAACAGAGTCCAAATGACATGGACCTAAGATAGATAAACTGTATAAAGCCATCTTGGATTGTAAAAAGACAATTGTTCTTTGCTTAACCCCTTCACCCCCAATCCAGCCTGTAGTTGTGATAGCAACTGCCACTCTTTGATGGCCCGTATGACCCTCCATACTTTTTTAGAACTGCCCCAGCTGAACTGTGTTGACAGCAGGGAGTTCAACCATGCCATTCACGGTCCATAAGTTCGTCCCAGATTTGTTTTTACAAAAATATGACATCTAAAATGCCCTTCTGAGAGTTTAAAAGTGGAAAAATGTTAAAAGTAGCCAAAATAAGGTGGGGGTGTTAGTCATTTGATGGCCACTACGTTAATGGTATGCGCCGTAGTTATTAAATATTATCCTAAATATATGCATAAGTGGTACAGGAAAACAAAGAGGTATAATACGTCAAAAAAAATCTGGACTTTAACATCTAGGTCACTGTTTTGTAAGAAATCCCTAAAAACCGACGTTTAGACAGACCTGGCTAGCCAATTATAATTCCCCAGCAAGACAATCAAGTCACATTTACTTAAACTTCCAGTCAGTATGGATGGACTGCTGTAACTACAAGGTAATAATTGAATGACAAAGAAACACAGTCTGGTCAATGTTCATCTCTCAACCACTTAATTTAAATTCGTATTAAAATTTAAAAATAGACTGAAAATAACAATTTTTCAGCAGGGGTGGGTTCAAACCCACCAGAAAATGTAACACCTCTGTTTGTTTTGCTCAGTCTTTAGTATTCTATGGTGTGTTTTGTGTACAATGTACTGTTGTTTGTCTTTTCATCATTTTTCGTTTTATGCCATGGCATTGTCGGTTTGTTTTCAACTTATGAGTTCAAATGAATATCCTTTTGGTATCTTTCGCCTCTCAGTCTCTTTGGAGCATGACGAAGGAATGCTTGCATGTTCATAGACAAAAAGAATAGTGCTACCTTAAAAGGTGGCATAAAAGTTACTATCATGATAAAACTTTTTTTTCCATAGTTACAGAGCTCCAGATAAGAATTCACAAATTGGGGTTTTTACCCACCATTTTTTTATGTAATTGGGTGATAAAGTTTTTTAATTGCATTATCAATTCCAATTCACCCCTCAAGCAAATATCAAATTGGGTTTTTCACCACCAAGCTCCTTAATGTATTGGGTTTTTTCATCAACACAATATTGAATATTTAGGCATGTTATAATCACATTATATCAACCCCAGATGTGTTTCCATCTTAAATGTGTTTCTTTCTTTGTAGAATATGTGCTAGCTGTTTTATTTGGTTTATTCACTGACGAGCAATTGTACATTTAATTTGTGTACCGTTTTAAACGTTCTGTCAGTTTTGTATTTTCTCAAAACTTATGTAAACTGCAGCTGGTGTCACTAGTTGGACAGGAACTAATTGCCTTTCTAGATCCCATATGATCACCCTACTATTTAATTATAGTTGGGGTAGGTGTGGCTAAGTGTTTAGATTTTTGTGTAATATATGTGAAATTTAGGTGCTGTAAGAAAGTTTTGCCAGATCTACTTTTTAATAAAAATAAAAGTAGTTTCCAGATTTAAGATATACCCCCAAAACCTTGAGGTTTATAGGGTGATTTATAATGACGGAGACCACATTCAACTTAAATTTACAAATAATTCTGCAACATCAAGTAAATAAATGACAATGTTATACTGCACTTGCCAATAAGACAACTATCTTAAACATCTGAACAATTAGACCAAAAACAAAGAAAGTGTCAAGCTGCATTGACGTAAAAAACGGATATGTGTATTCACTCATCAACTAAAATGAAAAGAAATAATATATAAACTGTTTTCGTTTAATTCAATTTACATAAATCTGGGTTAAGTTGTCCCTTATCAGAACTTGTGGTTTCCGATGCTTTCAAACTACATATCATGTCATAATTGATTTGGCCTTTCACTTTTTCCAACTGATTTCTTTTTTGACGGAACCCCGTGATTATCGCTCTAGCAATGTTCTCGTTATGGTACGCAAACACGCCCGTGCGTTCAATTGCCGCTTCCTAAAATCACTATAGCTGAGTCTTGTTATCATCATAACTTTCCCTCAGCTATCAAAAAGAAGCCGAAAACATGCTTCTATTCAATATTTTTACCGGACATTTACTTTCGTTTTAATTCATTGTATGTTATGATAATGCCCGAGCAATTCGAAAAAATATGACAGCATGTCACACGCTAATTGGATAAACGCCGAGAAGATCGAAATGTTTTCATAAACACGTGTACCTTTTGAGCAACGGAAAATTCCAACAGGGACCCATTACAGCTACTTGATGCAGGGCTCTATTTTTAGAACGAAAGGACATTTCCAATTATAAATATTATAAAAATAGATTTACGCGACGACTGTAATCAAGTAAGGGTAAATAACGCAAACGATAGCGAATAAAAGCGTTAAGAACCCATGTTTTTGGCATATAATTGGGTTTTCCTTTGAATTAATTGGGTTATTGAACCCTGCAATGGGCAATTGCATTGGGTTTTTAATTATTTTTATTGCGTGATCACGCAAATACGCAGCTTATCTGGAGCTCTGATAGTTAAAATTTAAAAGTGAAAGAACTTATCAAATAACCTTTTGAACCAAGTAAGTGCATTTACTACTGGCAAAGATATCACAAAAATGACACATATATAGAAGAATCAAAACCCTATCAGTATGGGAGCTCTAGATAATCATTCATATTAAAATATATATATATCATCACCATATAAATGTATTACAAATTAATAGGTTAAGTCAATAACATATATACAGCTTTCTATCACCTGATATTTGCCTGATTTAGACATCAGGGAAACATCAATCCAAGTAAATCAAATAAATATATATTAAAATACATTGCATTAAAATAAAACGTTTCAAAATTATCTTTAACAGCATTCTAACATGTTTATCTATCGTATTCATTTATGATTTGAGGATTGTCATAGTCGTATTCCTACCGAAGTTCATTGTTCTCTCTGGGGACTGATGCTTCTGCCACCAACAATAAAATGCTCCGCTGGGGCGCAGCTTGATACGACCGCAGAGGTCGAACCCTGAACAGTTGGGGCAAGTATGGACACAACATTCAAGCTTGATACAGCACTGAATTTGGATTGTAAATAAATATTTGACACAGCATAGGTTTCTGACACAGAATGAAAGTGGTCTAAGAACTTAAAAATTTTCAATTTACCTATTCATACATGTGATGGACTGTGAAACTCAGATCAGGAGATTGGGAAATTTTGGTCAGGAGATTAGGACTCAGATCAGGAGGTTTTTAATCGACATTAATTTTGTTGTAAATGTAACCGTGTGCTGTAAAAATGGTCTTTTAAAGTGTGTTTTCTTCAACTTTCCATCCAATTTATTATGTTTATAGTACCCTTGTACTTATAAAGTTTCTCCATCTTTATATTCTACATGTTCAATCTAACATTGTTTTTTTCCAGTATGTTCTTTAAATTTTTTACTTCATATTCTATAAAACAATCATTGCAACCAGAACGTTTTTTTAGCTGTCTGCAAATAGTTTTTATTTATTTTTTTTTTCTCTTGCAAATAGTTTTTATTTGCAAACTCAGAAATTCATTCTATCTGTAAAGTTAGGGTCATAGTTATTATATAAATTTCAATTTAAGCCTTAAAAGGAAGTATAGAATCCTCAAATAATTTTCAAATTATTATTTTTTTATTTGTCCTAAGACATTTAAAATCATTTAATAACCATCCTTTTATGATTATTTGTTCAATTTATATTTTATTGATATTCTTTTAAAAATTTTCATTATTAAAAGGAAAGTAACTTAAAACAGGATAAATCAAGGGAAGTAACCCAATAAATACACAGTTTTTGTTACACAACGGCAGTTAGCCTGAGGTAAAAATCGTTGCTTACCAGTATGTTTGACACCCAAGCTGACAAGTGAAGCCATATAATTATGCATGTTAATTGATTTACAGGTAAAATATAACTTCAGGTAATGTCAGTTACACCAGATGCCTGAGATGATATGTTGGGCAGAAATTTTTCATTCATGAAAAATTTCATACACGGGATTTTTCCTCTTCAACGGGAGGTCGGGAGGAGACCCCTGAAAACGGGATTATTGTACTCCTGTCGGGAGGTTCACATGTATGCCTATTCAAACCATATCATTATTATTTGCTTTTATATATAAATCAGAAATAACCAATTTAAAATGGAAAATGTTAAAGAAAAAAAAGGAAAAAAAAAATCCCCCCCCAATTTTTTTAACCCCCTTATGATTCACCGCCCCCAAACTCAATCCCAGCTTTCCCTTTGTGGTATGGTACCTTGCACTACAATTTCAGAGAGATTCATACACTTGAACACAAGTTATTGTCTGGAAACTAGAAAAATGCTTGTTTTTTGGCCCCTTTTTGGCCCCAAATTCCTAAACGTTTAGGGCAATTACCCCCAAACTCAATTCCAGCTTTCCCTTTGTGATATGGAACCTTGCAGTACAATTTCATAAAGATCCATACACTTACACACAAGTTATTGTCCTGAAACTAGAAAAATGCATGTTTTTTTTTGCCCTTTTCTGGCCCCTAATTACTAAAATTTTGAGTGAAAACCCCCAAAATCAATCCCAGCCTTCCCTTTGTGATATGGAACCTTGTAGTACAATTTCATAAAGATCCATACACTTACAAACAAGTTATTGTCATGAAACTAGAAAAATGCTTGTTTTTTGCCCCTTTTTTGCCCCTAATTCCTAATATTTGGAGGAAATTACCCCAAAAATCAATCCCAGTATTCCCTTTGTGATATGGAACCTTGTAGTACAATTTCATAAAGATCCATACACTTACAAGCAAGTTATTGTCATGAAACTAGAAAAATGCTTGTTTTTTGCCCCTTTTTGGCCCCTAATTCCTAAAATTTGGAGACAATTACCCCCAAAATCAATCCCAGCATTCCCTTTGTGATATGGAACCTTGTGGTACAATGTCAGAGAGATCCATACACTTACACACAAGTTATGTCTGGAAGTTACAAAAATGCTTATTTTTGGCCCCTTTTGGCCCCTAATTCCTTAACTGTTAGTACCATAACCCCCAAAATCAATCCCCACCTTCCTTTTGTGGTATTGATCCTTATGGTAAAATTTCAATGAGATCCATTCACTTAAACTAAAGTTAGAGTGCGAAAACTAATGTGTATTCGGACGACGACGCCGGACGACGACGACGACAACGACGACGACGACGCCAACGTCATACCAATATACGACCACAAAAATTTTTTTGCGGTCGTATAAAAAAATCTGACCACCACAATATAGCCAATAGTCCTGAAAGTGTAATAAATTACTTTGCTCTTCGTGGGCCCTTTAATTGGAATAAATGTGGATTGTGTCCACATGTGGACACAGATGATGCCCCTGCTTGCATATCATATAGTTATAAAGGGACATAACTGAAGAATGGTAAAAGTGACGCTACCCAAATTTGAATTTGATCTGAGTTTTGTGGTAATAAGCATTGTGTGTAAGTCTCATAACATTTGGTTGAGGCTAACTTAAGTAGAGAACAGAAACGAAAAAATTCAACAATTTTTCTATTTGTTAACACGCATAACTCTAGAACACATGTAGAATGGCTGTGTATAAGTTTTATTACATTTGGTTGCGACAAACTAAAGTTAGAGAACGGAAACGAAAAATTCAGCAATTTTTATGTTTATACAGGGACATAACTCAAGAATGTTAAAAGTGACGCCACCGAATTTCGTACTTAATCTGTATTATGCAGTAATAAGCATTGCGTATAAATTTAATAACATTTGGTTGAGGCAAACTAAAGTTAGAGAACAGAAACAATATTTGTACATGATCTTAGTTTTGTGGTAATGAGTATGGTATATAGGTTTCATAATGTTTGGTTGGGGCAAACTTAAGTTACAGAATGGAAACTAAAAATTTTGCAATTTTTCGATTTATAAAGGGGCATAACTCAATAATAGTTAAAGTGACACTACCCAAATTCAACTTGATCTGTGTTTTATCAGTGGAAGGCAAAATTATACATTGCATTGTATAAAGCATTGATTGTAGTTGATTTAACTATAATCATGGACAAAGGAAGATAACTCCAATTTTGAAAATTACTGGAATAATTTTTCCATTTACAAAGGGGCATATCTCTAGAACAGAGATCTGTGTATTGTGGTAATAAGCATGGTGTATAAGTTTCATAACATTTGGATGAGGCAAACTTAAGTTAGAGAACGGAAATGAAAAATTTAGCAATTTTTCCATTTACAAAGGGGCATAACTCTAGAACGGTTAAAGTGACACCACAAAAATTCAAACTTGATCTGTGTTTTGTGGTAATAAACATTGTGTACAAGTTTGATAACATTTGGTTGAAGCAAACTTAAGTTAGAGAAAGGAAACCAATTTTGGGACGTACGGACGGACAAGGGTATAACTTAATGCCCCCTCTGCTTCGGCGGGGGCATAATAAAATATCTTATCTTATTCATTAGATTAGCTGACAGTGCCAGGGCTTTATAGCCAGTCAAGTTCGTTATACACATCCATCTTCATAATCATCGTATTCATTATTTTAAAAAAACAAAACAAAAAAATTAACAGATCATTGTCATAACTCATGTAAGTGGTTCCCCTTAAACTGACAAAATCATAAATTCTAACAATTGTTCACTATGCAAAAGTTTCAAAGTCATAGACCATTGACTGAGAGTGCAGGGCCAAATAATCTCCATGGAAATGAGATGTGCCAATGCTGCTTCAACTGAAAACCAAACATTATTGATTTACCATTCGTGGTTCCCCTAAAACTAACCTTATCACAAATTTAAGAAATTGTTAAAGACATCATAAACAGCATTCCTGAGTCTAGCTTTTTGACTCCTTCGAGGCAAATCAAAAAATAAAAACATTAAAATCTAATTACATGTAGCAATTTATAAGTTGAAAATAATTGAACTTTAAACCGGTTTTATTTTCAAATCTTTACCATTTAACCTAATATCTCTCGCCTTTCAAAGTTTCAATAAAATTCTCCGCTGGGCACAGCTTGATACGACCGCAGAGGTCAAACCCTGAACAGTTGGGGCAAGTATGGACACAACATTCAAGCTTGATACAGCTCTGAATTTGGATTGTGATTAAATATTTGACACAGCATAGGTTTCTGACACAGAATGAATGTGGTCTAAGGACTTAAAAAAATTTAATTTACCTATACAAACCATATCATTATTATTTGCTTTTATATATAAATCAGAAATAACCAACTTAAAATGGAAAATTTTAAAGAAAAAAAAAAGGGAAAAAAAATCCCTCCCCAAATTTTTTGAACCCCCTTATGATTCATCACCTCCAAACTCAATCCCAGCCTTCCCTTAGTGGTATGGTACCTTGCAGTACAATTTCAGAGAGATCCATACACTTGAACACAAGTTATTGTCTGGAAACTAGAAAATGCTTGTTTTTTGGCCCCAAATTCCTAAACGTTTAGGGCAATTACCCCCAAACTCAAACCCAGCTTTCCCTTTGTGATATGGAACCTTGTAGTACAATTTCATAAAGATCCATACACTTACACACAAGTTATTGTCTGGAAACTAGAATAAACTGCTTCTCTGAGTGCAGCTGGATATGCCCGCAGAGGTCTAACCCTGAACAGTTGGGGCAAAAATGGACACAATATTCAAGCTTGATAAAGGTCTGAATTTGGATTGTTATTAAATATTTGACATATTATAGGTTCTGAATAAATGTAGTCAAAGAACTTGAAATTGGTTATATGAATTGAATTTATATTCAATTAAAGATTTCTTGCTGTTGTGCAATACACTGTGCTGTTGCGCAATACTTAGTAAATCTGTTATCAGACTATAAATAAAAAAAATAAAGTTCCACACATAACAGAAATTTATGAAAAAAATTACTGCTCAAATCATTTTTGAGTTATTAACAGAAAATTGGGAAATCCCCTCTCATTTAATGAATACAGCCCAATAAATCGGTAACGTAAAAACTGAAATTTAAAAAAATCAAAAGGGAAGTCACGTCAATAGATGTAAACAATTCAGCAAAGTTTCATGAAGACTGTTCAAAGCATTTTTGAGTTATTGTCTGAAAAGTGGAAAATCCCCCTTTTTGTAATGAATAAAACCCCATAAATCGGAAAACTATAATCTAAAATTTATAAAAATCAGAAGGGAGCTCATGTCGATAGAAATAAACAATTCACCAAAGTTTCTGGCAAATTGGTGAAACTGTTTTTGAGTTATTGTCCAAAAACTGGAAAATCCCTCCTTTTTTTAATGAATAAAACCCCAAAACTCGGTAACGGTACATCTAAAATTTATAAAAAACGAAAGGGAGCTCATGTCAACAGACATAAACAATTCAGCAAAGTTTCATGCATATTGGTTAAAGTGTTTTGGAGTTATTGTCCGAAAAGAGGAAAATCCCCCTTTTTGTAATGAATAAAACCCCATAAATCGGAAAACTATAGTCTAAAATTTACAAAAATCAAAAGGGAGCTCATGAATGTCGTTAGAAATAAACAATTCACCAAAGTTTCTGGCAAATTAATGAAATTGTTTTTGAGTTTTTGTCAAAAAACTGGAAAATCACCCCTTTATTAATGAATAAAACCAAAAAACTGGGAAACAGTAAATCCGAAATTTATAAATAAACTGCTTCGCTGAGTGCAGCTGGAAACGCCCACAGAGGTCTAACCCTGAATAGTTGGGGCAAAAATGGACACAATATTCAAGCTTGATAAAGGTCTGAATTTGGATTGTATTAAATATTTGACGTATTATAGGTTTCTGAATAAATGTGGTCAAAGAACTTGAAATTGGTTATATGAATTGATTTTATATTCAATTAAAGATTTCTTGCTGTTGTGCAATACACTGTGCTGTTGCGCAATACTTGGTAAATCTGTTGTCAGACTATAAACAATTAAAGTTCAATTAATTCTCAATGTCATATTAGAAATTTATGAAAATGTAAAGGGAGCTTACATCAATAGATATAAACAATTCACCAAAGTTTCATGAGAATTGCTGACAGCAATTTTGAGTTATCGTCCCAAAACTGGAAAATTCACACCTTTTTTAATGAGTAAAACCCCATAACTCAGAAATGTAAAATGTAAAATTTATAAAATTCTAAACGGAGCTTACATCAATAGATATAAACAATTCACCGAAGTTTCATAAGAACTGCTGAAAGCATTTTTGAGTTTTTGTCCGAAAACTGGAAAATCCCCCTTTTTTATGAATAAAACCCTGTAACTCGGAAACATAAAATCTATAATATATAAAAATCGAAAGGGAGCTCATGTCAATAGATATAATTAAACAATTCACCACAATTCCTTGCAAGTTGGTGAAAGCATTCTTGAGTTATTGTCAGAAAACTGGAAAATCCCCCTTTTTTTAATGATTAAAACCCGATAACTCAGAAACGTAAAATCTAAAATTTATAAAAAACAAAAGGGAGCTCACCTCAAAAGATCTAAACAATTCACCAAAGTTTTATGCAAATTGGTTAAAGCGTTTTTGAGTTAATGTCCGACATGTTGATGATGGACGGACAACGGTATACCATAATACGTCCCGTAAACGGGCGTATAAAAACAAAAGGAAACTCACGTCAATAGATATAAACAATTCAGCAAAGTTTCATGCATATTGGTTAAAGCGTTTTTGAGTTAATGTCCGACATGTTGACGACGGACAGACAGACGGATGGATAGACGGTCAACATTTTACAATAATATGTCCCGTAAACGGGCGTATAAAAATGCTTATTTTTTGCCCCTTTTTGACCCCTTGTTCCTAAATGTTTTGGGCAATTACGCCCAAACTCAATTCCAGCTTTTCCTTTGTGATATGGAACCTTGTAGTACAATTTCAGAAAGATCCATACACTTACACACAAGTTATTGTCATGAAACTAGGAAAATGCTTGTTTTTGCACATTTTTGGCCCCTGATTCCTAAAATTTGAGGCAATAACCCCCAAAATCAATCCCAGCATTCCCTTTGTGATATGGAACCTTGTGGTACAATGTCAGAGAGATCCATACACTAACACACAAGTTATTGTCTGGAAGTTACAAAAATGCTTATTTTTGGCCCCAAATTCCTTGACTGTTGGTACCATAACCCCTGAAATCAATCCCAACCTTCCTTTTGTGGTGTTGAACCTTATGGTAAAATTTCATCGAGATCCATTCACTTAAACTAAAGGTTTTGTGCGAAAACCAATGTGTCCTTGGACGACGACGCCAACGTCATACCAATATACGACTGCAAATTTTTTTTGCGGTCTTATAAAAAGAAAACTGAGATTGGTAATGTACATCTGCTGTCCTCAATGTATGTATATATATATATGTCTATCCATAATATGATTGTCCATTCTGTATTTGTATCTATTCAATATTGATCATGTTGATTAGTGAATTCTCAGAGTAATATAATCATAGCTATTTATGTACACCAGCTACCATAAAGCACAAAAACTTACTATTAAATTGAATTGGTTATAGATTTGGGTAGCCTTGAGAGTGATGTTGATAGCTTTTGATGACAGACAGTTTGTTTAACCAGAATCAATATGCTTTATATAAATGATAGTTTTATTTGTTTTAAACATATAGAGACTAGAATGGGCAATAGTTACTTTGATGTTTCAGTTTGTTTATATAATTTTAATTGGGTCTAACAGCAAATGAACAGTAGGTTAGAAACATGATTCTTAAGTTACTCAAGGCATGGCTACAGACTTGATATAAAAACAAATCTAGACCAGCACAACTGATGTTTTTAAAAACATCATGTTATCAAAAACAGACTATACAAAAAACAAAAATGTACCAAATGTTAGTGGCAGTATTTTTTCAACTTTCATTCCAGATATATTCTGATAGATACATGTACATACTTAATTACCCATCAATAATTACATTACATGTATGTTTCACAAGAATCCGTTAGTTTGATTGGCTAACAACAATCGTGCATTATTCAAAAATTAATCTTCATACCAAAATGAAATGTTACATGTTGTACATTCGTAATGACACGTCGTTCCACAAAAAAGTGCACAGGTAAATAAAAAAAAAACTTGATAACACTTTTTTTTCATAGTCTTAGCATAAAAATGTAATTATAAGAAATGAATGCTTCTTTTTGGTAATATTTGATAGGGCTGTAAAAGTGTTGATCGTGCACACATTTTTAGAATGAAGCGCTTCATACAAAATATGCTACAGTCAACACTTTTACACCCCAATAAAATTACAAAAAGAAGCATTCATTTCTTAATTGTTTTAATTGGTGAGAATTTCATGGCTGTGTGAAGTTCTGAAATCAACTTAATTTTAAGTTCATCTAAATGATAAATATGCTGCTAGCAAATTACAGTTTCAAGGCTGCAAACATAAACATACTTTTTATAAATCAAAAGCTGTTGATATCACATTTACATGTGTCCTTCAAATCTAAGATTGATACAATAATAACCAGTACAGAATAAGTGGGTGTTCAGACAAACATAGAAAGATATATATAATAGATATAAGAAGATGTGGTATGAGTGCCAATGAGACAACTCTCCATCCAAGTCAAAATTTTAAATGAAAACCATTATAGGTCAAAGTACGGCCTTCAACACAGAGCCTTGGCTCAGACCGAACAGCAAGCTATAAAGGGCCCCAAAAATGACTAGCGTAAAACCATTCAAAAACCATACATACTGTTACAGAGTTCTTGAAAAGTGGTGGTTCGAAGGTTTTGACCACCAAAATTTTAAAAGGATCGACACAATTTTGGTATTTTGCAATAGGACCAGCAGATTTTCTCTACAACATGTACAAGGACCATCAAGAGAAAAACATTTTGAGAACTATGCTGCCAGTGTCAGATTAAAAACTACACGCACTTTAGAGAAAATTTTGTTTTGATGATCAGGTTATGATTATATAAATAAGAACATTTTCTTTCTATTGAGAATTATAGCAACAATCTATCTTTTCCATCTGACTTTTCTGCAGCATGTTACTAACAGTACATCTCTAATTCAATAGGTTTATCATTATGACCATGATGACTTTGTCATTGGATCAAAGGACAAGGTACGATAAGGCCCGTTTTGACCCCCCCTATTTTCTCATTTCTTAAATTTTGTTTTGGAAAGCTACTTATCACGTTAAAATATTCCCTTAGGTTTGAAGTTTGTTTGGATGAACTTCAAAGCCATTAATTTCAGAAAATGGGTGAGGTGATGGGGGTAAAAGGGCATCAAAAACGCCCAAAGAAGGAAAAAGTACGATTTTTGGCCATTGTTTCTTAAGATTTAATAGCGTGCGCCTACGTGACCCGGAGAAAATTATGGCGATTTAGACAGCAAAAACAGTTCTCATGACATTGGAATAAAACAATTCCTGGGTCACGTTGGCGCAGGCACTAAAAAACTAAAAATTAGTTGTACGGAACACCTGCAAAGTGAATAATAATTACAATATTTGAATATCAGAAAGTTTACCCTCTCACCTACCCAGTTGCTAAAATTAGTGGTTTTGAAGTTCATCCAAACAAACTTCAAACCTCAGGGAATATTTTAACATAATTCTTTTATGATTTGCATATCTACAAATACTTGAATTGGATTGGTCCATTAGAAGTTTTTCCCTTGGTTTACACTTCGATAAACCATGTTGCCGAAACTGCTTTCACTTGATATATTCATGCGCTATACACATGCATGTGATCCATGAGTACTAAGCAAATTGAGATTGAAAAACAAACAACATAATTAGTTCATGCATAGAAAAAAGAAATAATGCATTCAAGCTTGGAAAATGTATGAAATTTTTATAAAATAAAATTCCGCGAAATATTATGAATGATCTTACCGCGTTAACGTCATGGCAAAACATGACGTCATAAGAATGAAAACTCTCAATCTGAAGATTATTCCGTTACTTGTACGCTTCAAATTTGGAAAATATCTCATTAAAAGGACGTTTTTGAGGTATGTGATATTTCATTTTAGATTCTATTGCATTAATTGCACATTTATGAACTTCAGAAAGTCAATATGGCGGCTAACTCCTTAGTTACGACATGTCTATTGTGCATTTGATGGTAAATAGAAGCCAATGAATAAAAAAATGTTAATTAAAAATTGCGAATGTTTTGCTAAGAATTATAAGGATTAAACACATTTTTTCTAGAGGTTATTGATGTGTAAACTGGGTCGCTTACTCACAAACTTTACATAAAAGTCCTTTGGACTTTTATTCAGTTTGTGAGTTAATCGCCCCAGTTTACACATCAATAACCTCTAGAAAAAATGTGTTTAATCCTATAATAATAAGTAGCTTTCCAAAACAGAATTTGAAAAATGAGAAAATAGGGGGGCCAAAAACAGGCCTTATTGTACCTTGTCCTTTAACAAATACAAAATTACAAACTCTAAGTTGTTGTTTTCAGTAACTATGTCTTTGTCTGTGAGTCATTATGGCAGAACTTGGTTTAGTGAGATTTTTAAGTGCTTCACATTATTCTTGTATAAACACTTGACATTGTTAGTTACAATGTAGTATATTGCATATAACCTGTTTATAATATGTCTTTTCCATTTGACTTTTCTGCAGCATGTTACTAACAGTGCATCTTTCATTGAATAGGTTTACCATGACTTTGTCATTGGATCAAATTGAACAAAAACAAAATTACAAGCTCTGTTGTTGTTTTCAGTAACTATAATGTGTTTGTCTGTGAGTCATTATGACAGATCTTGGCTTAGTGATGAGATTTTTAAGAGTTTCACATATTCTTGTATAAACACTTATCATTGTTGTAGTACCATATAGTATAATTGATAAAACCTGTTTATAAGTTGTCTTATAGTTAACTTGAGATAATAGGTTGCTAACTCACTAATGAATAACTGTCATTAATCTTTTACATGTTATTTATAACTGATGCTGAAAATATCATGATATCTAATTTGTAGATATATTTTTTTGGCTTCTTCCAGAACGTCAATTGAACTCGACCTTTTTACCTCTTACTTTCTTACATAACAAACAACAAAATAAGAAGATATGGTATGATTGTCATGGTATGAGACAACTCTCTACCCCAGACCAAATGACATAGTCATAGAAGATAATAACCATACAGCCTTCAACAATGAGCAAAACCCATACTGCATGAGTAAGCTTATTAGCAATACCTATTGACACATGATTGAAATGCATTTCCAACACAGATTCTGCATTAATTTTAACTTTTTTTTATTTCTGTTCAAGACTGTTGAAAATGTCAAAATTGATCTGAAATCAATATTTTAAACAAATTTATCTAATGTTTATGATAATCCACTTACAAGTTTAAGAGTTTTAAATGCTAAATGGGTTTACTGTTGAGAAAACCATCTTCCAACTGTTCAGTGTTGGCAATGACAGAGTTATCATCATACTCAAGATGATTTAATTAATTCACATTAAATTTTTATTGAATGTTATCATGGTTATCCAACATCTGGCTTCTGCATTGTTTTGGCACCATTCCCACAGTAAGCATACATGTACTATATTTTTTACATGCATATGATTTTGATGACATTCGTTTAAATTGAAAACACACAGGCAGTATTTTCAATATTTAAATTTTTGGGCCTGCAAGACTTTCAAAGAAAATATACGAAAATGCAACATGTCCGTACATGCCGTAAAAAATGTAAATGTAAACATATAACCACCATGATATAACATGTAAATAAATTGGAATTAGTCAGACAAACTGCTATTATGCATACATGTGTAGATTGATGCAATTCAAAAATAAAACTAATTTCTGCACTTGACTCAAAGTAAATTCCACTGTCATGACTGTATAAACGTTTAAACATATATATATATAATACATACACACAAAACCTGGACAGATTTCAACAATGATAGTTACTCATCTGTGTATCTTAGCTTTCTGTACATGTTACATTATACATGTATATAAATGAGTCAATCCAACAAATACAATATACATTTAAACAAAAGAATTTAAGCAAACACATTTTTTCAACCTCTTTTTTGTCCTGATTTATGCATGTTATATTTGCCACTGGACTTTAAACACCAATCCACCATTAACATCTTCATCTTTGTATTTTTGTTACAATTTGACAAGGTACATGTAGCTATATTTCATTACAAATTAAAAGTTTTTGGCATGAAATTGTTATACATGTATCATGTATATATTTAAGATTGTAACAATGTGTGAAATTGATCTCTTGACCCTTAAAATTTCCCTCAAAAACATAGAAAATCAGTATTTCATCTGGATTATTTGTCAATACATGTAATAAACAAATGATAAATTGGACAACATTCTGTTGATCTATGTACTTGTATTTCATCCAGAATAATGTTAATCCAGCAGGTACAATGTACATCAAATAAGCCTACTACTTTTTTATGTACAATGTATTGACTTTGTGTAAAAGGGAGCTCGAGGACGGGGCACAATTAAGTTCAAGTTTTTGAATTTTAGTCCAATCTTTTATGAGAATACAATGTAAAGATAAAATCTTAACGATGAATATTTATCTTGTTTATGCCCTGAAAACTTTAGGTGTCAGGTGAGTATTATTATGTAATAATTCTTATATGATTTGCATATTAGAGAATACGTTGATATGATTGGTTGAGAGGACTTCCGGTAGTTGTTCTTGACGTTGTTTATTTTTCGATAGACGACGTTGACCGAACTTCTTTTCGTAACCAACGTAAACAAGATGGCGGCGATAATGACACAATCCGGATCGACGTTAACAAAATTTATTTTCAATTCGCGTTAACAGGTCTTAATAGTTAAATTAGATAATAAACACAAAACATTCGTTTGAATGATAATAAGAGTTTTTGTAGTTTATTTTTTATCAGATTGCAAATTTCATGGAGTACATATTATTGCGTTAACCAACAAATATATTCATGCGCTAGGCCTGTTCGATGACACAAATATACAATTTACGTGTGATAGAGGTTACGAGTGTGGAAAAAATAAATTCCTTATCTCCAATTTTAAAGAATTATAAGGATTAAACACCTTTTTAAAGGAATTTATTGGTGTATAAACTGTACCAAGTCACTCACAAACATATTTGTTTGTGAGTGAATTGGTCGAGTTTATACACCAATAAATTCCTTTAAAAAGGCGTTTAATCCTGTACAATAACTCAAAACCTTGGTGTGTTAACCGTCAGCACATGGAAAATGGGTTCACCCTTAATCTTACCTTATCCAGGACATGATTATAGCAGGCCTCTACAATAACTTTTTTTTCAACTTGTCCAGTAGGACAAGTACATACCAAAACTTACTTGTCCGAATGAAATTGTAACTTGTCCAAAAAAAATCTTAATAATAACCTTTTTTGCATTTTAAGTTGATTGAATTAAAACAATAGAACAGAATTTGATTTTAACATATCTTTTGCAATACTTTACAAAAATATGAGTCGAGAACAACTGAATCTAGTCATGTCACAGGACTAAGGTTCTAGTTTTCATCAATGCCAAAGTCTCATCAGACTCTGCACATGAGGCACCGTCTGATAGGATTGCCAATGTACACTCATTGGATTTGTATCCTGGTTTTTTAATTTGAAAAAAGTTTATTTAATGCAATCAATAAAAAAAAGGAGATGAGGTATGATTGCCAATGAGACAACTCTCTGCAAGAGATCAAATGACACAGAAATTAACAACTATAGGTCGCCGTATTGCAAGTATTGTTTTTTTCTACATACATGACATATGATCAAATATGATTTTGTGAATGTTATGGTCATTTTTATTTTAAAAATATTTTTGCTAAAAAAATTACCGGTATGGTATTTGTTATAAAGCGACAGAATAAGGTAGGAAAACGAGGTACTGATTTGTCTTGGTCCTGAAATGTCTCCTGCGTTACCAAACTGTCTATTAATTATGTTTATTGAATATGTCTCCTACGGTGCCAAACTGTCTATTAAACTTGGAGCCGAATCGCTTCCGAGCTGGTGATGAACTGTCTTGTAAAGTTACCTTATCTACAAAGCGCAGCATATTGGATCAGTAAGACTGGTTTCCGAGAACCTGTTAAAAAGTACCTGACAAAGAACCAGTTTTAAATTATCGATTGCAAGTAAACATGTCAAATTAATACTTGTTTTTATGTTCTTTTCTTGTTTTTTCTTTATAATTACTTTGTTCATCAAAGTTGGATTACATTTATTTTCTGCAGAATAATTTTACTTGTCCCGTCGGACAAGCTTGATATAGCTTTAACTTGTCCGACCTTTGTTTCCTCTGGTACCGGACAATCGGACAAGCGTTATTGTCGAGCCCTGTTATAGATTAATTTGTTTATTCAAATTCCATGTCTATTATGATATTTAGTTAGACAATACTACAAACTCACAAACCTTCTGTTTCTTTCTTGTCTACACCTTGTGGAAGACAGACCCCGAAGAATACAGGCGGAACATCGGATGTTTTAGAATCTTCTGTATCCTTCACTTTAGCTACAATCTTCTCTGAATTTACATTGTCTGGTATAGCGTTATTATTCACTACATCTTTTTCCTTTGCTTCACTGGTAGATAGTTCTGGATGCTGTATCTGGTACAATCGTTTTGCTAGACGTTTTTGAAACAAGTTTTGTGTCGTGGCAGTGATTGGTCCAACTTTTTCTCCTACTTCTAGCAATTTACTCCTTAAATCTGCAACTGACAGTTCCTTAACTTCGTTTAAAATATCATCCATCGCAATAACTTCGTCTTCTAATCACATGCCAAACTTTGTTTACAACCCACATCTCATTATAGATAAATCTAGTTCCGGTTTTCCAATCGTACCAGAGCCTTTTGCAACGAAATGACTGATTGGTCTATCAAAGTTTGAATCGCGGGAGTTTTTTAAACTCGACAGGTGCCCGTTTTTAAACTTTGATCCTAGAAATTTTCTATTTCTTCTTACCTTTTTCTGAGAAGATCCATCAACATTTTGAAATTATCCTGTGAGGTGTTGTAGTAAAGACTAATAATGTTAATAATTCTTTAATTACAAAATTTTCTTTATTTTTTTTTTATAAACTTTACCATTTTATCAAACTTTTACATTTTTCTATAATGTAGTGTGGCAGAATGAGTGTAAGCTCCCCTGTTTAACTCAAAATTTCCGATTTGTTTTATATTCAGTCGTCTACTGCTAAATCATTATAAATTAAGTTACATTTCTTTCGACTTTGGTATTTATAATTTGTTTAGAAAAGACATTTATTTGTATTCAGAAATTTATTTATCTTGTGTTGAAAAGTTTCAAAATTTTGTAAATAAATGACCAAAATTTAGAACATTTGAAATAAATATATATTTATATATATAATAGCAAACTGTCACAAGTTTAGCCAAGACTGGCAAGACATAATAAAAGATTTATTTGTTTATTCAAATTCCAAGTGTATTATGCTATCTGGTTAGAGAATACAATAAACTCACAAACCTTCTGTTTCTTTCTTGTCTACCCATGTGGAAGACAGACCCCATAGAATAAAGACGGAACGGAACATCATATGTTTTAGAATATACTGTATCCTTTACTTTATCTACACTCTTCTCTGAATTTACATTGTCTGGTGTAGCGTTATTATTCATATAATATAAAGCTAACCTTTGGGGAAAGTCGAACTATTCCACTATAAGGTTAATGCAACTGCCACATACCTACTGTTCCATATTGCTCCAACTAGATACATTTGGAAATCATATGCTAAAAGTTGTATTTGGATAATAAATTAATTAGCATATAATAGTCCCAGTATAGATATATCTTACTTTCAACAGACACTTGGTATTCCTATGGGACAAACTGTGCTCCTCTTCCCGCTGACATTTACCTTGATTAATATAAGCCAGATTTCATAGTTCACCCAGTTCTTATTATCCATGCATCTTATCAAAACCCTCAAAATGTATAAAGTTACACGACATAGTGGATCTTAAACTTTAACATCACCAAATCTGTACAAACAAACTCAACATAGATACCAGGCATAACATTTTGTACGCCAGACGCGTGTTTTGTCTACAAAGGGGTCATCAGCTAAGCTCAAAGAAAAAAGTTTAAAAGGCCAAATAAAGTATGAAGCGTATTCGGATCCGGATCCAAAATTGCAAAAGGTTTTGCCAAATACAGCTAAATTATCTATTCCTGTAATAGAGAATATTTAGTTTTTAAAAAGAAATCTAATTTTTGTAAACAGTAAATTTATACTTATGACCATATCAATGATATTTTATGTCAACATAGATGTGCTGAATGCTGGGCCTGATGATACTCGATCTCCAGTAGCTTGAATCTCATTTCTAGTGAGGCAAACGATTTGAGTCTTGGCAGTCAAGGATTCAAAGTGGTTCAACGACCGCAATGCCAATCGGGAGTGGACGGTTAGTGGCAAGTAAGAGTTGCAAAATAGATTTCAGCATACAATCATGCAAACAAAAATAATCGAATTTGAAACAGGCTAGGGTTGATTGATTGATTGTTGTTGCCTGACATCAAGTGACATAAACTGCATGCATACTTCTAGACAAGAAACTTATCAATGGTAGAAGATCCTGTCTCTTAAAAATCTTGATATTTTTATCATGAAATAATAATAATTTCGAGTGCACATTATATCAATACATTTCAATGTAACTGCTACAGTTAAAAGTTTAATTCCAAGTATTCAATTAAAGACAGATCCTGGTCAAAACAAAAATAACTGACAGATTTACCCCGGTTTTCGGAGAGGTTCGTGTTGCCAATGATTGTGTTGCCCAATCTTTCATGTATAATATATATTTGTGCAATGTTTTGTGGACTGTTGGGGGTTTTTTTCGTCTTTTTTCTGTTGACTCTGGGACATAATATATTAGTATTATAGTCCCAGGTTGACTATAATGTTTTATCTTTGTTTTAAACAAATGTTCTTTTTTATTCCCCTTGATATCTTTCCCCCTCATTTTAAGATAACGGAGGAAAGTTTCTGAATTGCCGGTAAGATTTGCAATTAAAGTGTTTATGCTCATTGTGACATTTGATTTAGGACAGAGACACACATATTTTGAATGTCTCTTGTTTTGAATTCAACAGGAATTTCTTCCGAATAGTGTATTCTGAGTTCTTAGTGGCAATAATTGGTCCTCGTGAAATATGATTCACACCCACGTCAACATACTCAGTTTCATCGTGGAAACTGTATACTAACTTTAGAATACTTCATCGGAATCAATTGATATTATGAAGATCCTTGCTAAGAGTAAGAGATAAGAGCGACTAAGAAAGTCCAATGTTTAGTGTGAAATTGCCACATTTTCTTTGTCGTTCGAGAGTTATGTCTCTTTATGTACAAAAAAGATCATCTTTACCATTCCGCTGTATATATCAAAATCATTTGATATTTTAAAGCAATATACACAATCTGCAACAAAACTAGATGTTTAACTCCGCTACAGTCGAGCTCTCTATGTATGTTCCTATTCCTGGACAGAAGCCTCAGTGGTTTTCTGTGGTTGCTGTTCAATATTTGTTTTCCGTTGGATTTCTCTTCTGAATTGTTCGACATTTTGCGATGCTAATGTACATTGTTCATCTTGTTTCGATTCTCTGACTCGGTAAATATAATGCTTAACAGGAATAAGCACTGGGTATATACATATGATTGTGAAAGGAGAATAAATAATACCTTTTTCACAACATTTGGTGGCAGAAGTCTTTGTGAAATAAGACTTTTGTTGTATTAATGACTATCCGATTTTCATTTTCAGTAACAAAGATGGTCATGTTTGATAACCTGTAGTTGGAGTTACTAGTAATAAAGTATACATGTAAGTCAATCTAATTAAAATTAAATCTCCGCACTTGCTCCTCGTTGTTTATATGTCGCTCCCACGCGCGACATATAAACAACGAGGAGCAAGTGCGGAGATTTAATTTTAATTAGATTGACATGTAAGTAATCAATAGAATCATAAATGTAGGCTTTACTAAATATTTGATAACAATGTTTTAATTTATTTTCAGAATTATTTGTATAGAGAACTCTGTCGACTTTGAAAATGAATAAAATAAGATTTTGAAGAGACAGCGATCACACGGAACAAAAACAAAAGACAGACATCAAGAGCTAACTAACGTGATTAAGAGACTTGTCTACCTACCATCAATCCATAATTAATATAGATTCTTAACATCCACAAACCATTAAAAAATGCCAAGAATTAAAAAAACTTAAAAACAAATTACCCCCAAAATTTTTTTAAGATCTATATAACAAAACAAACAACCACTGACTAGGTTCCTGACTTTAATTTGCAGACACATGCAAATTGATGAAACTATTTTTTTCATGTATATATTTTTTTCCCTTTTCATGTCTATATCAGAGCAATAACAAAAGGCAAACAAAGGAAAGTATGATAACATTAGAACTAATAACGCAATAATGAGACGGAAGATACCAACGGAACATTATTGAACAAACAGCTCCCCCACAAACAAACAAACAGACAAACAAACAAACTTAACTAGACATGAACAAAAAATAATGATGTGGTTTTCCTGTGCTCACCACGTGTTATTCTGGAATAAACTTTAATCAAGAAGACTCGTTACCAAAAGTTCATAAAGCAACAAATAGATAGATATTTTTTTTTATTTCAGAGCATAAAAACCAAACGTGCCTAAATAGGACAACAAAAGTCGTTGACTGTATAACATAAACCTTTTAAATCAATAAATATGCAAATCTATATTGATACAACTAGACAGCATTAAAGGACAATACGGAAACTTGCTAGCAATCCGAATATTAAAAGCCAATTATGTATAAGGTTGGGCGCCCGCTAATAGGTTTAACCCCGCCACCTTCTGTATATATGTGTCTGTCCCAAGTCAGGAGCCTGTAATTCAGTGGTTGTCGTTTGTTGCTGTATATCATAATTGTATTTCGTTCATTGTTTTTTACCGTGATAAATCAGGCCGTTATTTTTCTCGTTTGAATTGTTTTACATTTGCATCTCGGGGCCTTTTGTAGCTGACTATGCGGTATGGGTTTTGCTCATTGTTGAAGGCCGTACTGTGACCTATAGCTGTTAACTTCTGTGTCATTTGGTCTCTGGTGGAGAGTTGTCTCATTAGCAATTATACAACATCTTCTTATTTTTAGAAGTACCGAAACAAGTGAATAGCTAGAATATGATTTATTTATTAGTTGTAATTGGCTTTGAACTAGCTTTCAGTAACAGCCAGTACTCTTATTTCGGTGCTATGTATTTATTGTTTTTATGTTAGTTGTTTTTGTGTCTCGTACCGATCTGAGTTAAGCCAATTCAGGGGCGGAACCAGCCATTTAAAAACAAAAACGGGGGATTCCAACCATATGTCCCCATTCAAAAGCATTGATCGTAAACAAAAAAGGTTTGGGTTGGGATCCCGCTAACATGTTTAACCCCGCCACATTCTGTATGTATATGCCTGTCCCAAGTCAGGAGCCTGTAATTCGGTGGTTATCGTTTGTTAATGTGTTACATATTTGTTTTTCGTTCATTTTTTGTACATAAATCAGGCCGTTAGTTTTCTCGTTTGAATTGTTTTACATTGTCATTCCGGGGCCTTTTACAGCTGACTGTGCGGTATGGGCTTTGCTCATTGTTGAAGGCCGTACGGTGACCTATAGTTGTTAATTTCTGTGTCATTTGGTCTCTTGTGGAGAGTTGTCTCATTGGCAATCATACCGCATCTTCTTTTTTATATTGATCCGCCACTGCAATTGCAACCGAATTTTACAGTTTGTTCTTATGTTGTGCTGTTACACCTCTGTCCCAAGTTAGGGGAGTGTTGAGCGCTCACAAACATATTCTTTGTCGTTCGAGAGTTATGTCTCTTAATGTACAAAAAGATCATCTTTACCGTTCCGCTGCATAATTTAGGTATGCTATATATATAAAAATCATTTTTATAGCAATATGCGCAATCTGCAACAAAACAAGATGTCTAACTCCGCCACAGTCTCTCTATATATGTTCCTATTCCAGGGCAGAAGCCTCAGTGGTTTTCTGTGGTTGCTGTTTACTATATTTGTTTTCCGTTGGATTTCTCTTCTGAATTGTTCGACATTTTGCGATGCTCATGTATATTGTTCATCTTGTTTCGATTCTCTGGCTCGGTAAATATTATGCTTTACAGGAATAAGCACTGGGTATACATATGATTGTGAACAATCTAATTAAAATTGATTCTCTTTAATGGAGATAACGAAATCAGAGTTGTTCTTATGTTGTGCTGTTACACCTCTGTCCCACGTTATGGGAGTGTTGAGCGCTGACAAACTTTCAGGGGCGTATTCAGGCGGGGGCTTGGCGGGCGTGCGCCCCCTAAAATTTGCAAAGCATGGGTTGTCCTCAGCTTAATAAAGAATATTTCGATAATTTTACCTCAAACAAATTTTAAGTTTGCGCCCCCCCCCCCCCCCCTTCACCTTAAATCATGGATCCGCCCCTGAACATATTTAACCACATTCTTTATGTGCCTGTCCCAAGTCAGGCGCCTGTAGTTCAGTGGTTGTCGTTGATTCATGTAGGTAATTTTTTTTCGTAAATTGTTTTGTTATAAATAAGGCCGTTTAATAATTTGCTCGTTTGAATTTTTTCACATATTTCATGTCGGGGGAATTTTTATTTATATATATAGCCGACTACACCTTATGGGTTGCTCTCAGTGTTGAAGGCCGTACGGTTGCGTACAACTGCTTACATCCACTTCATTTGGAACTCGGGTTGATAGTTGTCCTTTGGCAATGATACCACATGCATCTCCTTATTTTCACATATGACAAAAAAATGGACCTGGTAAACCTTGCCTGTTACAGTATTATAAGGTAAGTAAGTAAATGTTATTCAAAGTAGGTATAAAAGTAGGTATATAAGTACACAACTACGCATGAAAACAGGATTACTGGTAAGTTCTTTATTCACCGACTATCATATAACACATTAACACATTAGACATTACTGAGACTATGCCTATATATATATATATATAATTCAAGAGTCTATCCTAAATTGAGGTAAATTATATGGCCTTCCAAATACCGTTTCGATTCCTAACATCACTGAAGAGACATTAATTGTCGAAATCCGGATATGGTGTACAAATTTTTGCACCTCATGTTTGCGGTATACCATCTTATCCGCAAGTTTATTGTTTTCTGTTTGGTAATAAATTATTAATAAGATCTATTTTGTTACATCTTGTGATCTGTTTATTTGGCAATCGCCCATGGCAGTCAGCAGGGTTTAAGAACATCAGTTGTTCGACCTGCTAGTCTAATGTGTTTTGTGTTGTATTTAGACATCTCTATCAAGAAATTTGTTTTGCATGCACACGTATAAAAATTGCGGTTTTTATCCAACGCAAAAAAAACGCAATTTTTATACGTGTGCATGCAAAACAAATTTCTTTGTAGAGGGGTCTAAATACAGCACAAACAACATTTTCCAAAAGACCAAAAAAGTGAAAAAGTTTATTTTAACAAAACGCATTTGACTAGCAGGTCGAACAACGGATGTTCTTAAACCCTGCTGACTGCCATGGCGATTGCCAAATAAACGGATCACAGATGTAACACAATGGATCTTAATTATATTAATTTAATACCAAACAGAAAACAATAAACTTGCGGAAAAGATGGTATATGTATATATATATATATATATATATATATGCCATCTCCTTCAGTAAAGGAAGCCTTTGAAATTGAACCATAGGTGTAACCAGTTAACCGAGGAAATAGTCAAACAAAGAAATGAGGGTCTGAATGGGGGTCATCCATTTAGTATTCTTTAATTTTGTAGGTCATTTTTTGTCTATTCTTTATTTTTTTGCCCATTATTCTCTATCCTCTATATTTTAGCACCCCAGTATTCTCTAATCTTCAGTTTTGTGTCCTATTTTCTCTATTCTTTATATTTTAGTCCATTTTTCTGTAGATTTTGCCAATTATTCTGTCGAGATCGCCTAAGATAGTTAGAAAACAAGTTAAACAACAGTGGGTGAAGTATGAGGAACATGAAGCTACGACGCACATATAACACTGATGAACAAGGCACTGAACCGGCGCTTATATAAATGAAGAAGAAAAAACAGGAATAAACATCAAGCTTGTTGAAATAGAATTCACATACAGCCCACGAGACGCAGCAATGACAAGACCATAATATTGGTGCATGTTTGTGGCTCTGTGGTACGATCAGAAAAAAAACAGATGTACAGAGAGAGTATGCAGGAGTCAATGTTGAACAATTGAGAGAATCATGAAGAGGCATTTACAGACGGATCATGCATTAAAAATCGGGGACCGTTTAGGACTTGTACAATCTTTTATACTGAACACCCCAGACCGCGGCAACTCGATTTGTGGAGAGAGGTTTCATTCTGTTAGCTGGAATAGTAGCCATCCGAACGGTGCTTGAGTTTCGTTAGGTAGATCGCCTTTCAAATGCCTTCACAAAAACGAAAAATATCCTTAGATAGTCTGAGCTCTGTCGGACTCCTCACATTGAATTGGACAGCAAAACACAATATAATATAGCTAAGATTCGAGATATTAAGGAACACAGTCTTGCACGAACTCAGATTAAACAACATCGACATCTCAATACAGACTCTAGACACAGAAAATGGAGACATCCAGGGGAATGATGAGGCAGAAGCTAGAAAAATACCACCACAAAATAACATCATAACCGGTACTCTGCAGGACGTAAAAAACGGGACCCACAAAAGTACAAAACAAAAGAACCTGCTGTGTCAGACACATTTCAAAACCATGATTCAACTTAAAACTGGATATTTGGACCTAGCTGAACTACTATAAATAAGTAAAGGCCTACAGTAGGAGAAGACTGGAAAGTGTGTATTTGTGTGTGTGTGTGTGGTGGGGGGGGGGGGGGGGGGGGAGTAGAAGGGAAGGGACTTCTTAACTTCTAAAAATGACATGCATAAAAAAAACTTTCATATACATGTAGTTTGATAGTCTAGAAGTAAGGCAGTGTCCTCTTCCTTTTCATTTTGAACCGGATTTCGAAAGGAAAGTATCGAAAATATCTGGCGTATGGTCGGCCGGGCTGGCGGCTACCAAACAGAGTCCGTGTTAGAGGTCAAGATTTATTTTGACCTTTCCATTTCTGAACCCTACAAAAAATCATTTATTTTTTTTTACTTTGTCCTGTTTGGGGTTCCAGATTTGCAAATATTATTTACATGCAGGAAAATCCGGTTTGCTGTCAATCTGACAGCCTCTTGATTATTTTTAAATAACCTTTGCTTGTCAAAGTTTTTGGCGAGTGGAGGTAACAACAGAGCTAGGTAACATCGACACTTCAAAACTGCTAACACGGTTTGTCATTTGGTCTCTAGTGGAGAGTTGTCTCATTAGTAATCAATCCACATTTTCTTATTTTTATAATGAAACTCGGAGCAGTTGCCAATTTAATCGACCAAATGGCACACAGGAAGATCTGGACGATCGTGACCACTTCAACCTTACTTTTAATAGCAGAGAAAAATAAATTAACATAAAAAATGAAAATTTGCATCACGGTGGAAGACAACCATTTGATTTCTGAGGGGAGTGGCGTACTGTGGGGAAGGAGTATTTTTTTTGTTGCGGTTATGATATTTATTTTCATCTGATGCTAGTTCGGCTTATTTATTTCGCGCTGGCCTTGTCAGAATACTGACTCACTTTCAAAATCATCCTGTTTACTATCCCACCTCCGTATATCAAATGGTGCGATAATGCCTAAAAATTATGATTGAAGAATACTATTGTTGTTAAAAGTAGTCTCCAAACAGCATCATTCATACAGAAGAAAACGAAAAGAGGCATGCATATGTATGTTGTACATGTAAAACCAATTGTATTTTTTTTAAATTAATTTAAATCAGTATCTGTCTGCTATCAAAAGTAGCCAAGTTGACCAAAGTCTCCAAACGACTTATTCTATAAAAGTTTAGATTATTTTTATCAGAGACATATAATACATGTATTTATATGTCTCTGTTTTTATTAAGAGCAGGTCAGTTTTAAAGTTGATCACAATTAAAACAGTTCAATTTCCCTTCAAATCTGAGATTTTAATCTGAGACCACAAAAAAATCAAATACTATATTTGACAAAAAATGACAAGAGAATGAGTTAAATCCCGAGGTACATCGTCAGTTTTCTTACCTGTTCATATCGTTCCGAATGGTTACAGGTGAACTGGCACGCGATATCAGACGAACGTCCGGTGAAAATGTTTACAGTTTCTAACCGTTAGAGATGATATATTCACGTTATTTTTAATTTTTGGAAAATATTTTAGAGTTACAGTGCCATGTCATCAGCGGACGATGAGTCCGAAAGCGGAGACGAGTTTACATTGTGGGACATCAGAAATAATTTGGATACAGAACCATTTGAAGTCATTCTTAAAGGGGGGAGTCCTTGGGGCTTCACCATAACTGGTGGGGCCGAGGTCAGGTCCCCGATACAGATATCAGAGGTGAGACTATTTAGGTTACTTTTTTCTACTTTAGATCAAACTTTAATGAAGATTCAAATAAATTTAATGACCGTTAAAAGTTATATTGACATTTGAAGATAGAAGGGGGTCTAGATGAGATACCTGTACAGGTAAGAATTTTGATTGTATAGTAATTGTTCAGGTAATAATTACAATTCAAAAGATCTATGATGTAATGTTACTTCAATCTGGCCACAGGGAAATATCCGACAAGAAAATTAGAGCTTAATTTAAAGTAATGTGTGTTATTTCATTACTAAGTATTTTAAATCTTAGCTAATTATTTTTTTGGTAAATTTGCAGTCAACAGGAACAGTTTTTCTTGCTGCATGTCTCCTAATTGCCTTTTCACCTTAGAATATTAGGAAAGTTAGGAATAGCAAAATTTGATTCCATTCAGACCATTAATTAAAAAAAAAGCTGGGACCAATAGATTATGCATTATAATCATTTTAAAATCACATATTTTCATTTTTTTTTAATTTGATTTAATCAAATTATCGAGTGTTCATATCTTTTATTGGAATTCTACTCACTCTTCACTGTTCAGATGGCATGCCACTTTGATCAGTTATATTGATACCTTGCTTTAGATAAATCTTTTATGCTTTATTGATCAGAAACCTCTAGCATTTTGGAGATACCTTGAAAACTCCATTTCATAAAGGGGAGACAACTTGCTATGGCAATAAATGTGAATTCCCTAATTTTGATTACTGTTAACTTTTGACAGACCTTGATGGTGGTTTATCATTTCATTATTTAATAAAGTTCCTTTCAGACTTGATATGAGTCACTATAAAAAGCAAAAGTTGAAACTTTTAAAATTTTACTCCAAGTTAAATAAAAGTTTGATGAAGATTTTTTTATAAAAGTCCACTTTAACTAATGTCTTCAAGGTACAGATATAAGTAGCTACATGTACATAGTACTAGTGGTTGTTGTCTTTCATATAAATGAAGGTTCAATCATACATTGAACTAACATTTGGTTGCAGGCGTCTTTCATATAAATGAAGGTTCAATCATATCTTGAACAAACATTTGGTTGCCTGCAATGAGTGCACAATTCATTCATGAGTAACTTAAATTCATTATGAGTTCAAGTTCAAGACCAAACAAATTTTGCAAAGCATTGGTCTCTTCAGGAGATGTGAATAGACATTTATCTTTAAAAGTAGATCAATCATTACACATTGTATTTTTTGGGACCAAAGTCTTATGACTCTCTAACCCCCCCCCCCCCCCCAAAAAAAAAAAGGAAAGAAATAGGGTAGGTAGGTAAAATAATTTATTTTGTTTCTGAAAATATTTTCTATAGACAATATTTGGAAATTTTTAACCAAAACTTATGAATACTTTATTGCACAAAATCAATTCTTCCAAACACTCTGTATGAAATGTTATTCTTATTGGAGTTATTCCCCTTAAATGACAATTTTAACAGCTTTTGCAGTTTAACTATTATCTTGAAAGTGATAATAGATAAAAAGAAACAGTAAATATGAATTGCAAAAATATGTTGGAAATTGTCAATTGACTTCTTATAGAAGTTATTTCCCTTGAATGATAATTTTGACCTATTTTTTATATTTGTTACGGCAGAGACAATTTTCTATTAAAATGAAACCTTAAAAAGAAAATATGCTCAGCAGGACACTATTTACAAATTAGTCCAACATTGTCAAAATTGTCAAAATTATCAATTGATTTAACTCCATCTCACCTACTAACAGGAGTATTGCCCATGAATGATTTTTGAGATTTCTTTTTTAGGAAACTCTAGTATATTGAGAGAAAATATCAATAGCAAAAAAATGAGCAACAAAATAAGAAATTTCAATTTTTGAAATGACAGATTTTAATTTGTGGAAAATAGATGATTAGGGAATGACCATTTGATTTTGAGGGGAGGGTTATGGTTTTTTTTCATTCTGAAATTTATTTTAAGAACTTAACATTAAATTTAATTGCAAATAGTCTTAATCAGAATACTCCCCCCTCCTTTTCTCCTTGTCAAAATATAAGTTTTTAAAAATTGGGAATCAGAATATTTTTTTAGGAAGAAACATTGCCTCCCTCAGATTGAATAGTCATTCCCTAAATACTGGAATATATTTCTTTTTTTATTATGAAAATTTTGTGAAAATCAGACAAGAAATAATAAGTACAGTAAAACTATTTGAAAACAACAATTTATATACATGTATGTAGAATATATAGCAGCCATTGCACAGTTATTGGATATGGTCCTCTGCTGCCACAGGAGTGCATAAGAAATTCTTTCACAATCCTGTTAATTCAGAATCAAAGGTTTTTGTAGGAGGTAAAATTGCTTGTTCATGCTAATCATGCTATAATGAATGTTTATTTTGCAACACTCCAAGAATCATAGGAAATGACAATCTATTTTTAGAAATATTAAATATTACTTAGAATAATTATTTCAGAATAAAATATTAAATAGTGTTGATTTTGTATAAATTTTAATCTTTTCAAGTTAACTGAAGTGTAGTGATGTACTTCAATGGCACTCATAATTATTTGGGTTGACATAAGTTCAGATAATAGTCTTTTGAGTTTTTTTAATTTAAAATTTTATTCTTAAACTTCTGGAAGGATTGGCCTTTTTAGAAGAAAAGACTGCTGTAGTATTTCTGAAATATTGTATCGTTTACCAATGTTAGAAATGTTTAGCTTGAGGTACATTACTTACAATGTCAGCTAATTTTTATGTGTGAAATTTTGTCTATAACGTTTATTGTAATAATTTAAGGTTCGTGACCATATTTTTAAAGATAAGTGTGAAAACAACTGTTATAAAATGTGTCCTAGCTAGTTCATTTATCTTTTGTATAATAGTTCGTCTTTTGTGTATAGTGACAAATTTTAGCGGAAATGTCTTCATCCTTGAAGCTGTTTTCTCAAGGTTGATTTATAATGTTTAATTTTGGCTTATTTCTTTGTAAAAAAGTTGTCATATGGTTAACCCAAGGCTTTGTTGCCTTTGACTTCAAGCAACCATAGCAAATTTGGTACTGATATTTATATATAAATATAAATGTATGTACTTGGGTCGAAATTAATACTACATTCATGAGTTTTATGCTTCTTAAATTTATATTCAACATTAAATATAAACAAACAAATATATAAGAGAATCCGCAACAGGAACTTATAATACTATCATATCATTTATTTTGTTTCCTGACAGATGTCTGGGGATATATTATGATTAACATTGCCAAAAAGGGGGCTTTTGAATTATTCAATGAACAATTATAAGGAGTTTATACATATCTAAAAGTACATGTCACAGAAAAAATACAATTGTGTAACTATAAATGAATATTTAAGACATAAACTGAAACAACTGTTATACTTTAATTGTATCCTCAGGTATGAATTGAACAATATAAAGAATAATTAAATGAACAGAATATGGCCCTTTATATTATTGTAAAAACCAAACATTGTAGCGAGCTAACAAGCACTTCTATTTTGAGTCCCACCACTTCTCCCTATCAGTTTCAAAAAGAGTTAAGTCACTTCTCCCTATGATTCTGAAGTAGTATGAGTCCTGTAATACCATGTGTTTATAATTTTTATTATTATTATTAAATTAAAAGGTAAAAGAACTTGCAATTTGTTCAATTTATTCTTAATTATAGACACATTTGCAATTTTGCACACATATAACACATACTTAAAAGAAGATAAACATTATAAAAAGGAAATACAGCATCGTGGCAACGCGACATTTAATGACATTGAAAAAAAAAACTATTTATTTTTTTTACGCCAAATGTGATGCTATCCAAAATTTAGGGAGAACACTGCATGTAACTCCTCTTTCTTTTAAAACCGCCAAACTGAAACCAACCTAGTCTGAAAAGACCTGACACATTTTATACATTCAATCTTACAGATTTTTAAAAATTTATATTAATTCTCAACTCTTAGCCTAAAGTCACCCTTTTACTAATATGGTGAAGGTTACAAATACAATGTAAAATGTAAGGCTAATGATGAAAGGAGTTATTATGAAAATATATTACATAGATAATTAGAAGACACAGACCACACTTTGAATTACTCTATGCCAAAAAAGCCTTAAGAGCAGCTTAAAGCCCGGTTGTCACTATCAAAGTTTTTTCTTTGACCAGGTAAACTTGGTTCAAGTATTCAGTTGTCACTGTCAAATATTTCGTCAAAAATTTGGTCAAAGAAAAAACTGCATTGGGATTGGATAATTCCTGTCCAAGTCCATCCAATTTTCAAGAAAAATAGGATGAAGTTCTTCCATCCAAGTCTGTCAAAGGTTTTGATCAAAGTTTTCTTTGACAATTGTCACTATAATATAAAAAAAATCCATCTAAAACTAAAATTGGCCAAGAAAAACTTTGATAGTGACAACAGAGAAGAAAATGTGTAGCAATATATTCTACTTAACAGGGAGAACTAAAGATAATTAGGCAATTGATCGCTGTCTAAATCCTAAATGTCCAGTAGGCAATTTTTTCATTTTAAGTCAGGATTATCCCACCGCTTACAGCGGGTGAAATACTCTGAGCAATGGGATGTTCAATATGATATACCCCTTCTGTTTTATGGACCTATCTTATATTATATTTTCATCTTTGACTAAAGAAGAGAAGCTTGTTTATTATCCATAAATTAGCACTTTTAGGTGTTTTGGCATTAAAAATTTCAATGATAAATAGCTAATAAATCAACTGAATTCTTCGACATACATTGGGGGAATTATCGCTTTTATTTAGATGTTAATTTATGTGTAGTGTCACATTATATGCATACATTTAAGTCGTAATACCAGACCATTGTACAAACGCAGTACCAGACCTTTATTATGAGTCTTAAAAATAGTCTCAAAACTGGACCATTGTAGACCCTCAGTCTACCTTTTAATGCCTGTAAACATTTATGTAAATGCTTAAAAAATTATATATTAAATTTCAC